GCAAATAAATACTCCATGCACTTTGTCCGAAAGAAAAAAAACCTTGCTTAACGTCATTTACTATCAAAATCAATTCATACAAAAGATCCAGTTACTAACATACAATAATGAAAACGAAATTTATTATTTATGCTACTACAACTGCTGTTGTTTCAAACTAGCTGTCGCCAGCGACTCTGTCCGCGAAGTACGAGTATTAAAAAAATAATAACCTATGAGTTCTTCTAGACTATGTTCTACGTCTTTGCCATATTTCAGCTAGACCCATGCATCCGTTTTGGAGATACCTTTTAAGAAACATCCATGCATCCATCCAAACATTCGCAATTATAATATTAGTAAGAATGGTTGGAACGCGATAACTTAAGCGAATTTTATCGTAATAAATTTTGTTTATTTCTTGTTATATCCGTTTGTTTTACATCAATGTTTTAAACTCAATTAAATTTTTAAATCCGACGAATGAAGTCTGACTACTGGAAGATTAAATTGTCCATTACATTTTATAAAATCCATCAAAGCGACACGATAAGTTCTTAATTACTTTTTTATCAAATAATTGAGTCATATCATAGCGTCTGTTACTTTAAATCCTGATATTTTCTCAATTAAAGGAATTCATTGCTGATATGTTAACTGCTTCAGAAATCACTTTTGCTCTAAGTGTATGCTTTAAGCAACTCTGAGTGAGGTTATAAATACATTCCTAAACCCTAACTCCATTAGTTATTCTAGTAAATTGTCATCATCATCTCGAAGCACCAGGTTTTATGAACCTTAATTTTTTGCCTGTTTTTATGAACGGTCGGCTGCCTGTTACCAATATTATTTGGAAGAAAAAAAATTTTGATAGCTGTAATACCACGATATTGACTTTATATCTTACTAATATTATAAATGCGAATGTTTAGATGGATGGATGGATGTTTGTTTCATGGCATCTCCCGAACGGCTTAACATATTTTGCTAAAATTTGGCATAGATGTAGAACATAGACTACATATTAAGTTTGTTTATAACTCGGCGCAGACAGAGTCGTGGGCGACAGCTAGTCGAGCAAAATATATTGTCCAAGTATATTAGTGATGTCTTTTGTCAATTTTTGATTAAATTAATTTACATGTCTTTACAGATAAACCATGGCAAGAGTCAGCGTTCTACTAGTATTGCTGTGTCAGATTCTGACGCTACCGATTCTTGGTAGTAGAAGCGATGATGATAATCCGTTCTTGGATCTAGCGTCTTCCTTCCTCCAAAACATGGCGGATGGAGGTGGTAACAACATGAATGGAATGGCGGCTATTGGTAACATAGTCGGAACTCTAATGCAAGGTGATAATGCAAAGAATTTAGGAGCACTTTTCGGACAATCAGATGGTGCTAATGCCGGTGATGTTTTGTCTGGTAAGTTCTTGTTACATACTTCTAATAATTGTGCTTAAAAATATATTTAACTTTGACACTATTCATATTGCAATGAAGATTCTATAGAAGTCAAGGTATTCCTCATCTTACTTCAAATCTAAGTAGACACTATTTATGTACTGTTAGGAAGAAAATCCGAAAATGTGCCAGTGTCTTGTCGCAACAATAGCCCTACTAAAATGACGTTTTGTCCCCTTACTACTCATTCTGATACTGGACTTTGTAACGAAAGCACGTCATTCGCGTCAATGGATTCTAACTTATAATATGAGGCATACCGTCGACTCGTCGTAAGATTTAGGAGCTTACTATTAAGACTGATTCGTTCTAACTGTATTCGCAGGTCTAGGCAGTCTACTTGGCGGTCAAGATGGCAAAATAGATCCAGCACTAATGGGATCGATGATATCAATGTTTGCAAACCAGATGGGAGGTGAGCAACCAAAGCCACAACGACAGAAAAGACAAAGTCAAGACGACCCGATAAATTTAGACGGTATACTAAGCCTTGCTTCTGGACTACTAGGAAATAAGAACGCCGCAGGAGTTCTACCTTTAGTTATGAATACGTTAAGTTCCTTCTCTGCTCCTGAAGCAAATAAACGTGCAGATAGTCACAAAGAACATGCCACATTCCTACCTCCATTCTTGGAGAAAGCACACCTTTATTGGGATTTGTTTATGAACTCCGAATTAGGAAAGACCATTTGGGAGAAATCAGGATTGAAGAAAACAATGAAAGCATTCATAGCTCCAGACGGTTCGATCAGTTTTGATCTTATGTTTAAGAATTTTGAAAATCATTCGTTCAGAAGACACTGGATTAAAACTGCTGCGAAATATTTGACTGATATGGTTGTTCACGTCGCTAAACCTGAAGTATATCAGAGGTAAACTTTAATTTGCTTAATTATTTTTATCCTATATCGAAACCTAACCCCTGTTTATGTTTAAGATATTATATTTGCTGTAAACCCTTTGATAATGCCATTCTTATTGAATCTTTTGCACGCGACTTCCTCCACGCCAAATTAAAAAGAAATCTAAGAATAAATATGGCCTATGTTACTCAGTAATAATCTGGCTTTCTAAAGTCAAAAGAATTTTTAAAATCGCTCCAGTACTTTTTGAGTTTAACCCTTACATACGAAACTACTTTTCCTCTTTAAAATACTAGTTTAGATGTATAGATTCAACAATAATCTAATGCTTATTTTCAGATACCTAGTATCAGGTCAATTCATTGTAAATAGCTTCCTAGACGCACAGGGTTTACCAACAAACACACATTTCAACATGAAGAGACCAACTGAATCGTTAACAACACTCATCAACTACGTGCTAAAACATTACTTGGCCATGGACACCGATGTATCAGAATACGTGAAACCAGCTGTGGATTATCTTAAGGTAACCAGTACTTTAAACTTAAATCAACATAGTTTTAAAGAAGTATCTTATCTAGTAAGATACATCTAAAAGATTTTTAATTAATTTAAATTACTGAACTCCTGGAACAGAACTACAAAAGTTCTATATCTCTATTTAATAATAAAGATGTAAGTTTCCTACTCTCCCTCTCCCTCTCTGTTCAGCCCTTTGACTCCCACTGCTAGGCATAGACCTCCCAGAAAGAGCATCCAGGATACGCCCACAACCTTGCTCAGATCATCGAGCGAGAGGTCTGCCCACGCGACGTCGACCTGTCTGAGTTTCCTACTAATTAGTTGTTATTTTTTCAGCAAACTCTAAAAATGGCTCAATCCACATCTCAGAGTATCGTCAGTAAAGGCGACTATAACGCCGTAGCTGATAGATTGACTGACACTCTGAACTTGGAAGTTATAGAGCCGGTTCTCAGAGTGTACCGAGCATACAAGCATTCAGTGAAAGCACCTCACTGTCAAGAACATCTCATGTGCCTTGTAAATAGACATCCTGATCAAGGCAAGCAAGGTGAGTGACCACAAGTAAAAAAACCAGACTAGAGAAATGACCATAGAAACACCACAGAGCGTCTGAGAGGGAATACGACAAAGAAAAAATATTTGTTAAATAATTTGGCAATATAATCTTAAAAGCAAAACTTGACAATAATGAATCGCAGTGAAATATTTTACTGAACGTCTCTGTCTAGCAAAGCTGTAATTATAACAGTTTGTCGTTTTTAATTGTGATATCATATACACCAGGTCTGCCCGGCTTCAAAGCTGGTCTCACCAAGCTGAGTAGCCTCGCCGCGTCTGCGGCGCTTAGCTTCCAAAACGGCAAAGGATTCTGGGACCTCTACAACGCTATACAGAATGATGTCAATTGCGAGGTTAGTCGTGATAGATCACTATAAGCTTACTATCTTATTAATATTATTAATCCGAATAGATCGATGGATGGATGAATGATTGAAGGAAGGTATCTCCGGAACGGCTCAACGGATCTTGATGAAATTTGGCATAGATGTAGAACATAGTTTGAAAGAACACATGGGTACCAATTAAGTTCTTTTTTATAACTATTCGAGTTAAAGCTAGTTTACGTTAACGAGTTTTCATAATTTCACACTGGCTGATTATAATTTGATTTATTTTTAAATATTTACTTTATAAATATGTGCCAGTAACATTATGCTATACTGGAAATATTGATTATATTTTTTTTTATTGCAGGCAAAATATCCCGCAGATTGCGCTTCTTTCCACGAACACGAAATGAAAGTGACGACTGAGGTGTACCATATGGAATTATAAGTACATGAAAAATTTAGTTATTTAATATATATTTTAATAATACTACTTAGTAAATATAAATAGTATTTGCAAAATTATGATATTTATAATCTGTTCCTTTGAAAATGTTTTGCATAGATTAAATATAAATATTTTTATAGTGTAACATTTTAAGACGCAAAATATATTTTTAAACATAATATTTTATAGGAAAAAATAAGTTAAGGCATTTTGTCAAAAAGTTATTTTGTGACTAAGTTAAAAAAAGCTGGAAATGGTGCTAAAAATCTACGACGTTTAACAAAAGTTAGACAATACGAATCTTTCCTTTTTTTCTGTATTTAAAAAATTAAGTTTCCTTGTAAATATGGTATGTATTTAAGTTAAAAAATAAAAGACTTTATGAATTATTTTTTTTAATTCAATCCTTTATAATCGGAAGATATATTTATGCTACAGTATACAATATTTACCGTGGATTTCTGAGATCCTCTTTTAAAACATATTATTATCTCTGTTTTATCAAAGATGAAAGAAAGGGATGACGATATGTTTTATCCAGAAATTCTGTTACAGAATTCAACGGTTAGACTAACACAAATCACGTAATAAGTTCTAAAAGATTGCACAATACACAAATTATTGTTGGTTTTTTTCATAAAGATGACGTGGCAACAGATTTAACTCCTGTCATGTTTAAATTAATGTGTTCTGTGAAAAATGACTAGCAATTATTATTTTGTTTGTTTTTTTTTTTATTAAAAATATTACTCATTTTTTGTTAATATACTAATATTTATTGTACCATACCAACTAAGCTCTATGCTTGTGCTAGGATATGGGTTACAATAGTCGAATGGCGGGAATCGAACCCCTGACCTCGTGATCGGAAATCCGTACCCTTAACCATTAGGCTATTGACTATAATAGGAGCATTAGGCTATTATAGGAGAAAAGATCAGAGATTTTTTTATACATTCAAATATAACATAGTGTTTGATTTTAACTTTACTTTATATCCCTATTGATTAATATCATACCAATTTATTGCATAAAATACATACATAGTGCAATAATTTGATGAAAATATCAAAGATAAAGGACTAATTCAAATATTAACTATTTACTATATCCAATGTAGGCTTTATTTCCTGACTGGTATATTCTTGCATACCCATTCCATACCCTCCTGGAAATAAATTAAAAAAGTCTTAATTAAAAACGAATCATTTCACAAATAGGCTATTTCATATTTCGTTCTATTGTACCAGAGACAATTCATTTGTGTTCTTTTTAATGTACTTACCTTCACTCCTGTTCCTTCAATGGCAACACAGGCCTGTATTTGCCATGTACGATCTCTAATTAAATGAAGACCAAGATGTTGCGCGACTTCACTGGCTGGTAAAGCTATAAAAATAAAGTGAAAAAAAACAACAATTTAACGAACAACGGGCCACTGATCTCTATAAATCGATAGGTCATACTAAAACTCGCCTGATGAAGTTCCTGATGATTAATTACATCTATATCATTAGTTCGAATCCTTACCACCACTATTAACCGCAACCAAAACGACAAAAATAAAATAGGAACAAAATACCGCATATTATAGCCTGTCCATTTATAAAGGTCAATGCCAACAACCTACGAAACTTTAGCCCATTGCTTCGAATACTTACCAGTATCCAAATCTTGTTTATTAGCATACACTAATAATGGTACACCACGTAACTTATCATCCTGCAGTAGTTCCGCTAATTCTAGACTTGTCTCTTCAAGTCGTTGATGGTCTGAGCAATCCACGACATAAATCTAAAACAGTACAAAGCAACAAAGATCCTTCTGATTTCAAAGACGATTAGGGAAACCTGGCCTGGATGGAGGGGTTAAAGACTTGGAAAGATTTAGATATGATGCGATATTATTCAACATACCAAGATATCAGTATTTTCGAAATAATTCCTCCAATATGGACGTATCTTTCGTTGTCCTCCAATATCCCATACGTTCAATTTAAATCCGCTAGATAGTACGGATTTAATATTAAAACCTGCAGTTGGAGTAACGTGATTTACATCTTCTGATGCCAATTGCTTTAAAAGTGTTGTTTTACCAGCATTGTCTAAACCAAGCAGTAATAGACGCAATTCTTTATCTGGATTTGAACGTAACTTTCTTAAAATATTTAATAGACCCTGGAAATATAATTTTAGCTTTAAGATATACATTTATAAAAACGAAATTGTTTAATCTAGACTAATTACCATCATTAATACGCTTGGATAGTCACTTAATATTAAAATAAATTCTTGTATCACCTAAACCACAACAGACATTCAAAATGTGTTTATATTATTGTTGCTATGGTTGCAATAATATTAGCATTTGGCTCGCAATCTCTTATATCGAAGATCATTCAGCACTAATAGATATATAAAATAATTTTTATTTCTTACATTAATTTGACCACTACGACTTAGCCAAGCAAATTTTAATTGTGTGAGTATATAAAATAAAAATTGATGACACACCAAATAAAACGAACATTCTTAGGATTAATTTCAACATTCTTTTTCGATTTTGCCTCTGGCTGTATGAACAATTTACGTTTGCCGAGTACTGTCAATGTCAAACTGTTAAAAATATAACCTAAAACGTAAACAAAATTCCTCGTTTGCGCACGTGGGGATTGGTCGTGTTTATTTTAAATTAAGAAGCAACAAACAATCTAATTAATAATGGGAAAAGTAAAGCAGGAACCAGTGGAGGGTAATGAGCAAGCGGACACATCAGTAAAAGGGGAACCACAAAATTATGACGATAAAATCGAACACTGCAGCGTTATCGCCAAGCCAATGGCACCGAAGAAACTAAGTAAAAAGATATATAAACTGATTAAGAAATCAAGCAGTCATAAAAATTACATTAGGAATGGTCTTAAAATTGTTCAAAAACAATTAAGATTAGGCGAGAAAGGGTAAGCAATTTATATTTGTTTTGTAATTTTTAGGTTAGCTCATGGGCGCGAATAGCGTCCTTTTAGACAAATGATGAATATGAACTGAAAATAATGATTACCCACTTATATCAGTTTCCTTTTGTTTTGCTTAAATGTTTTAACATTTTTATGTGTTATTTAAACTCAATATATGTCATTAATATAACCTACGAAGTATAGTTATATTTTATAATAAAGATACTACGAGTTTTTAAATGTAATATTTGTAACTCAATCAAATTAATTATTATTACTCAATACTTACTTCTTGGTAAAAAAACTCCCACTTCGAGCCCACTGTTTGATTAAAAAAATTCACATATCACACACACCCTATTATACCGACACTTAGTAAACATTTATTATTTCAGAATCGTTGTATTCGCGGGTGATATATCTCCGATAGAAATAATGTGTCATTTACCTGCCGTATGTGAAGAGAAGGATGTGCCCTACTGCTATACTCCGAGTCGTAAAGACATAGGTTCAGCAATGGGAACAATGCGTGGCTGTATTATGGTACTGATAAAAGAACACGAAGAATATAAAGATTTGTATGATGAGGTTAAAAGTGAAATTAAATATTTAGGTCATCCTTTATAAGTTAGTTATAAAAAAAATTTAAACATACAAAATAAGGTTCATTTTCTCTAATAAAAGTATACTTCAAAGATAAAGACATTAACAGATAGAAATTTGATTGCATTTTCAATAATATTTCAAAATATTTTATGAAGCCATAGCCGGAGTTCAATTTCTTGCTTGTTTCTCTATAAATTAAGTTTTTTGCTTATTGTAATTGTATGTCAACATCAGAGAACAACTCATGCTTATCTAGATTCTACATAATTTCCAAACCTTATAATTGATTTGGAATCATTTTTGATAACCTCTCTATCTCTTAAGGTGCCTCTCCATTTAATAGAGGTTGGTCAGCTCAGTGGACTTTTGCCAGCCTTGTATTCAAGCAAAATAAATGTTCCACGCTGGTAATATCTAACCTAAAGCATTGTTAATCTTACTAATTAAAATAAACGCAGGATCTTAAATATTAGGTTTGACTAATCTAATTACAAAATAATGTACTTTCAAATAATGTTAATTCATCTGCAGTTCCTCAAATATTTCAAAATATAATACATATTACAAGGCTGGAATATCATTTTTTGTGCTTATTTTTTCAATGAATATGTTTTAAGTTCGTTTTGGATTTTGTTAGAACTATCTTAATGTTACTTTGTGAAAATTCCAACTTAGTAATTATACTGTAAATCATTGGTCGTTTTGAAAAAGTTTCTATATAATTATATCATTTAACAAAACTCACTAATAACTAAGTTTAACTTGAAATTGTGTTAAAAATCAAATGATTTGCCACAGATTTTTTCATTATATCAAAACATGTAAGACCAAGAAAGCATTGTAAATATTCTAAGACAAATAAATATTCCATTTCATAAAAGTATTTTCATTATGAATTTCCATCTTAATAATATTTTAAATGCAAAAGTTTAAATGGATGTTTGTTTGAAGGTATCTCCGGAACAGCTTAACTGATCTTGATGAAATTTGACATAGATGTAGAACATAATTTGGAAGAACAAATAGGCTACTTATCAAGTATTATTTTTTTTAATTCTACGCGGGTGACAGCTAGTAGTTTATTTATTGAGGATAAAAACTGCTAACTCTTATATGAAGGTAGTTTTAAATGCCAAAAATAATGCTGTATACCAAAATACGGCAGATGGCGCAGCAAAGGAATTGTAAAATGGAACTTAACTACATAAATACTTTCCACTTTAATATGTATTGTCAAAAATACCTGATTTGATGCGAGGAAAGTAAAATCCAAGCGGCCATTTTGTTTTAAGAATCGTTCACGGTCACATTATATTTACATACACCGACACTCGAAAACATATTTTAACATGAAACACACACTCACACACAATTTCATTTAACTTTACTGTCTTGTTAAATAAATAAGAAAACAACTACTAATTGCGTAGATAAATTGAGGCAATTATCAATTGTTTTTGTACGCGAACTAAATCGCGCGCAACTTTTAAATCTTCGAGCACGTTCGGGAACTCTCGGCAGATGTCGGTTACATCCGTGTCGTACATAACTATAGATACAAAATTATTTAGTAAATTATATAACCTTAAAAAAACCTATATACATAATCTGTATTATAGCGCTTTTCGCATTTAATCGCAAATTCTTAGAGTTTATTCGTTCAAGTTTAGTGTTTAGTTGCTATTTCATATTTTGCTTGATTTAAACTTACTCAAATGAATAGATAGTACGCAAATATCAATAAAAATATTGACAACTGAAGGAGAATTAGAGTAATGAAATGTAATTTTTGTATAACAGAAAGAGAATAATAATTATAAATAATATCTTAAGATTCTCTCGCTAAACAGTAGGATGAAGTTCCCGATATAAAAGGCAGTTAAGAAACCATGCATTGCGAGAAAGTTCCTGTCTCTGCAGCCCTGACCACTGGTTAATTGAGTCATAGGATTCCACAGTCGATGGTGTTATATTTTTAATATAATATATTTTGTAATTTTTTTTATATATTATATAAAATCTATTATATTTAAAATATGTATAATAAATAAAACAATCAATTAGTTACACATACATTTATTACACTTAATAAAAACTATAGGTAAAAAATGGCAGATTGTCAATAGCTGACAGTGAAGATTGGCAAAATACATTATGCACTAAATTACTAGATCACCTAAGAGAAGTTTAGACTTGTCTCCTAGAATAGATTTCAGGTGTCTATTTGTGTGATTTTAATACTACAATGATGATTGTTGTTCGAAAAATATTTTTAAAAGTAAATTTCCTGTACTTTTCTTCAATTCTTGATTCCCAATGTGGTTTTGGTGGACCCTCGGTTAAACAGAAGACTTGACAGAGTTGTTCGATGATGGGATATAAAGTTGAGAGTTTATATATTCAAGAGTAAATCTTGGATGGCTTACCATGGGTTTGTGAGTCCAAAATCTTTGTTTAAAAAATATTGCTATCTCTGTTTTGTCAAAGATAAAGACAGAGATGATGTTATTTTGTTCTCAGGAAGACACGGATAGTATGAATTTAAATTTAGAACTTTTTCAGGTATAAGTGCATATTTTATTTTTTACTTTTTTATGGTGATTTTTTGCTGAAATCTATTCTATTTACAATAATTTATAATCTAATAATTGAAGCAAATATTATTTAGTGAAACCCTGCTTTTTAGTGCATTGTTATGAGATCACAATTTAAAATATCTTTTTCACGGATAAAAATGCAATAAGAAAATACAGAGATTCTTTGGACGAGACCATATTTTGTTTACTGTAGAATCCCACTGCCGTTACGTTGTCAATTCCCATCTGTGTCATACTTTTACAATACAAGGAATATGTATGAAAACAATTTGTCTTACGGCAGTGGAATTCGACGTTTATGATGTGTAGATATAGCGAAGATATATTGAGATTTGTACTTCAAAGTTCTTAGATTATATGTATTGTATAGCCAAAATGGTTAAATTTAATTCTCATTCACTCTCTGCTTTTAATTGTAACATTTCTTGAAGAATCACACACAAAGTTTTTTCATTATTTTTGTTAAAATTCATATTAGGTTTTTTTTCTTTAAAAATTGTGTGACTTTTTGTCTTTTGTTTTTCATAACAATCGTGATTTATTACAATGGTAAATATTGAATAATATTGAAACTTAATTCCTGTTGTCTAAAGCAAATAGTCAAAAAGTGCATCTTCAAAAATAAAAAATGCTCAAAAGTTAAAGGCTATAGTAGTTTATAGTTTTGCGAAAAATTAATCATACTGTATATAACATTTTGGTTTAACCATAGAACATAAATATAGGAAAATTTATGGATGTTTTTAATCCGTTCAATGGATTACAATAAAACTCTCAGGAATTTAATAATACTGACACAGTTAACTCTTCTGTAAAATCATTAAAATTATAAACGCCTAAGGAATAATCCAACCTTTTGTTTTAATATTCCAAAAAAAAACTTTTTTTTGCTGTTTGTTTTTTGACAAGTTATAAAGAATGTCAAAAAAGGTTGGATAGTCTCTTAAATAAAATAAACCCAAAGCATAACATAACTAAAATCAACTCAAGCCACATACTTATGTGCAGATCTATGGAATTTTTAATTTTAATGCTAGCAATCCTATTTTCTCTAACCAATCAGAGCTAATTACGCTATGTGTGGTGTCGCCACCGTCGATAATACAGACCGCTGATTGGCTGACACTATAGCGATCATTCGAATTTCAATTGTCACTGGAACTGACAATAACTTTCGTTAAGTCACGTGACTGTCGCGCCTCAGACATACATTTTAGGAATTCGCTATGGAATCGCTTCGAATCGAATGCATTTTGTTTAATCGCTCCGAGTACAGTAAATTGTCATTTATTGCGTTGTCAACGCATAGCGTAACAAAACACACCAAACTATACCACATCACAGTTACGAATTAAATCCTATCACAGACTACAAATACCAAACCTAAAAATACTGTTAAATCAAATGCTGCTTAAAGCAACTTTATAAATTGCAGATTAAAATATAAACTATATTAAGCCTATGGCAAAGAAAAAGTAAATTAGTGTTTGCTGTAGATATTTTAAGGGAAAAAAATGTTTAAAATTACAATAATGTCTAAATATCTTTAGTAATAGTTACCATTTCTTGATACATTTTTTACTTTCGTAAATAAAAACCTTGATATATTATTTCGTATGCATGTAAGCGATTTCTAATTGTGATTTATACTCTAATTAAAATTATAAAAGTATATTTATAGTGGAGTAAATAATTTCATTGGTACAAAAATAATACCTAATACTTATTTATAGCGACTTACATTAAACATTTGAAATACTGATCTTTGTTTTAAAATGAATACGTGACATATAAAAATATGACAAGTGTTTTATATTAAACCAATACACTTTTAAACTTATTGAATTTCCCTTAAATTCATCGATAATTTTGCCGTCTTGAACATAATATTAATCTATTTTTTCTACCTTAATTCTCAAATATATTGAAAACTAAAATTTAAAGCTTTGAAAAAAAGTATTTTTATTTTATCTTCTAAACCATTTATAAAGTTTTCGTATTTCGACTCTAAATGTGTAATCACTTCAAATTAAGTTCATACTGTGAACTAAAGCATAATTTAGGTGTTATAATTAGAATCACACTGTCATTTCGAAAATCATAAAACGTTGAAATATTTGAATTAATGATATCTTACGAATAAAACTGACCACACAAGCTAGTTTACCTTAATCTTATTAAAAGTAGTGAGTGACCAATACAGTATGTCTCTATACAAAAACAAAAATTACATCCTTATTATTCCCTTTATAAATTAAAGGAGGGAAGATTATTTTTGCCAATTTCGACTGCTTAATTACGTATCCTGGCAACATTAAAGTGTCAATGTTGCAAATTTGACATTGACAGGTGTCACAAGACATTGACAGCTGACACAATTTAATTAATGAAAGGAACACATTACGTCCACGCGGGATTTATAATTCAATAACTCTAATTAATCAAACATCAAGAAACACGCGGTTATTTTATTCCTAATAAGAAACAGTCTCTGAAAGCTTAGACTTAAGAAAGTTTAGCAGTCGTGATTAGCAGTGGTTCCCAACCTTTTTAAAAAAAATATATAGCAACATTTTTTGATTTAAAATAAATTTATACAAAAAGAGAATAACATGATTATAAAACAAATACATTCAGCATTTCTTTTCCAAAAGCTAAGCCCATATCAATATACATAAACAAATATATATAAAGAGAGAGGAGAATTACAAAAGTGGTTTACTGTTGATAAAAATTTAATAGCAAACAATTTTTTTTTTTTTGGAATATTATCTGTGTATTAATCAGTAATTCCTATACATTTTAATTTTAATTTTTAGGAAAAAAAGGTTGACAATCACTGTATTTTGAAATGTAAATCAAGTGCGATCTATCACTACGTGGTGTATAAGAGAGCTATGTGTAGATGTGGAACAGCAACAAAATTGTCAGTATCGTGCTCATAAAGCACATCGACACCGGCACCAGCACAGCGAAACGGAGAGACCTACAACATTATTTAAATGGTAAAACACATGAAATAGAAAGAGACAAATATATTGTTGACTACCTGTCTTTAAAACGATTTACATTTTTTTTTGTAATCACAACACCTTTGCAACTTCTGCCAGAGATTGGACATTTCAAATTCACTTACAAATTACATGACAACAGAACACTACGTCCAGCAAATTCCCCTTAAAGCTATAAAGAGACCGATACGAACTTATCTGGCCCAATGGGCATAAGTACTAAAGTCATTGACCTTTAATACGTGGACAGGCTATAAGCTGTGGTATTTTGTGCCTTTGGATTTTTGGGCATTATGTGGCTGATGGTGACAGTTGGTAGCGGTAGCAAGAATTATCCATCTGAAGATATCATTAACGAAAGTACAGTAATTCATTAGCGTCCGTTTGTTTAAACCTGACTTTAGTTGCCTTGTCTTGTAATAGGTTTGACATTTTATCTGACAGAATTAGCCGCGAAAGTAGCGCCACTCACCAGCCGAATAAGTTTTCAATCTCCTAAATGGGAAGAAGTGATCGACAACATTACCTCCAGAAGGGCGTGCGTCAGAGCGGCGGGTTGGGCTGCGGCTCGCTGCGGCACAGCGCCGTGCTCGCGTCTGGCAGCGCCTCCGCCCCCGCCGCCCCGCCCGCCTCCGCACCTCCGCCCGCACCTCCGCCCGCACCTCCACCCTCCGCACTCTCACGACGTACCTTACCTAATACGCGATAATTCATGAATACAAAGAAAATCTTAATACGACAGGGGTCATTTGTTTATTGTACAAAAGTATAGTTTACCCTAAACAAAAAAGGTAACATATTTATAACTCGTTTTAATGTTGTCTATGTATCTTGGAAACTCTTCAAAACAAATTAATAAACAGATTTTTAGGCAGTGAAAGCCAACAGTTACAAAAGAATCAATAAACTTTTATAACTTACTGGTAAAACAAAGACATCCAGTCTGCTGATTCGCTTGTAGCGATGTGGTTGGTCTGATCTCTTTCTGGTCTTTGGACTGCTCGTTCAGACATTTCTGATAGTAGTCATATTCTTTCACATACCTGGAATTATAGAAAAATATATGGTAACATATTAAAATGAACACCTTAACAACTTTAATAGGAATTGGTAAAATTAACAATTAAATATACTTACCACACAGGCGGCCAGCGGTTGTCCGCTAAATATTCCCTCGAGGATTGACTGAGATGTCGCGCGCGGCACACGCGGTCGTACGCGCCGCACAGCCGCCACGTGCACCACTCCGCTAGGCTGTGTGCGTTGTGCAACTGAAACCGAGTGTGTAATGTGTAATATTACTCTAAATGTGTAATGTTAAATAGATTGTGTAATTTTGCCTTGAATCTGTAATGTTACTTTTAATGTGTAATTTAAATCAAAGTGTGTAATGTAACTCGGAATGGTTATGTTACTTTAAATGTGTAATCTTACGTTTATTGTGTAATTCTTCTTTTAATGTAAAAAACGTATCAATTACCTTAACGGGCTCCAACAAGGACAGGCATATTTCAACAACTTGATCCTCTTCGCCGCATACCCTGTAAAATTGTACGCATTGTTTTAAAATTGATTCTTAAACATACTCTCAAAATCCGTCCAAATAGTATAAAAACCCCCTAATCACCTGGGAGTGGCCAAATCTGTTACCTGTCTTGATGCTGCAGGTGCTCAATGACCCTGGCTTCTACGAGATTAACGAGGCGATTCATACAGAGACGATTAGCCAGTTCCAATAGTTCGAGGCATCGCGTCGGCTCCACCGTTGGTATCTTGTCAGAGTATATATAGCAGAGAAGGATTTGGAACGCGTACATCTTGACGCCGGGGAATGAGATCTGTCAAAACGAGACAAGTTTATTAATCAAACTGATTGTTGTGAAAATATATCTTAACATAGCACAAACACACAGTAACTTCGGTTTAACAAATTAATTTAATTCAAAGTTCAAAGGAGCAAAAAAAATCAGTAGCACTAAACGTGTTAAAACGGATATAAGAAAAATTCCCTCCTATCCTTTGGGGATGGACTTACCACTCTGGACGTGCTCTCCCTAAAATGTCCCTGGAACATAGCCTTCATTGGATCACATCGGGCCATGAGCGCCGCGCGGTGAGCTAAATGTATCCCGTCGTCCAAGTCAAACGTCACGTCAGCGAACATGTTGCGTTCTACGCACATTTCACGCAATCTTTGCGGGAATGACTGCAAACATAAAATTAATAATTGGGTTAATTTGCCAACATTAAAAAGAATGTGTTAAGATAGTTGAATAATCGGCAATACGATATCAGTAACTTTTTACACACTTAAAGCGTGTAGTGGAAGGAAATTATTTTATTTTATAGGAATTTGAAATTTTTAAGAATATCTACCATCTAACTCCACCTTATAGATTTCTTTACCGATTTTGAATTCTTGTGAAAAATATTTACTACTCATAAATGCTAATAAATGATTACTTTAAAAACTCTTTTAATGCTATCACAATGTACAAAAACGAACAATAACTAATTTTCATAGTAAGGGCTTTATCTTTAAGGACTTAATCGACCTAATATAACTAGCAATCGACATCAAAATGATGTATTCCGAAATATAGAACGCCCAGAAAAATAGAAAATTTCGTCATATTACGATAAACCTGTAACCTAATACTTACAGTATGAAATTGTAACATAAATCCTTTATCGAACAAAAGATGCTGATCCAGTATAAACTGGCTTAGTTTGCTCAGCTCATGGAAGCCGAGAAGTTCTGCCGCTTGACGTATCTCCTGTAATCATTACCAAGCAATTCACAATATTAGTGATATCTATTTTTTTTATATCACAAGGTGGCAAACGAGCGAGCGGCCACCTGAAATCGCTGATATAGCGAAGTGATCGTTGCCCATAGACATACGCAATTGCATATGCGTTGCCTAACTTTAATCGACGGAGGAGAGGATGCACACAAAAAAAATATTTTCCCTTTACATGCATCCTCTCATCCGGAAAGTCCACTTCCACTTCCCATCCTTTCCTTATAAGAAAAAGGGTGGTAAGGGAAAGAGGACTAAATTAGGCCTCCGGGACGCACACATATCAGACGAAATGCGGAGTATTTCACCGGGCGAGCCGGGCCAATTAGTGCGAAGATGTTAAAGCGGGCTCTACCACTGGTAAATTGATTATCATAAAACATTCTTTCATATGTATAGACAGAAAAGTACATCTGGCCCGATGAGCATAAAGGTACGCGTCCATTTTACCACGCTGGACAGACTAGGCCCGCATTGGATTTTATTTTGCCGTTACGCCATTGCGGGCTGTGTGCGCGGTGCGTCCGGCGAGGATTAATGGCCGCGTACCTTTTGTCAAATTAAATTATGACAGCACACTATACCAAGCTTTTAATCTCAAAATGTATGACGTATTGTTTGGAACAAAATAAAAACCCCGTGTATAATATTACATGAAGAATAACCACAACACGCCAGTAACCCAGAGGGGTAGACAGAGACCATGGACTATTTGGCGCGGTCATCTATCGTTTTTTATAGACTAATGTTTAAAAAAAAGCATAGAATAGAGCGTATAAATGATATTAATGTGCGATATACAAAAATTATGTCAGTGAATGCCAAATAAAATAATTTTAATCCAAAATAATATTAAAATGCTTTAACGTGAATAAAAGATGCCAAAGGAAAACATCTACAGATGAATAATATCTATTTTAAAAATAATAATAATAATCAATAAATAATGGAGAATATTATTAACAATGGAGTAAATTAATAATTATGATTTTTATGTTATAATTTATTATAATGAAAATTACCAGTAGTAATCCGATCGCAGCGGACTGCAGGACATAATTTTAATTATTTATTATTATATAATTATTATTTTCATTTTTTTTTAATAATAATAATAAGTAAAATATTAATAGTTTGAGATATATTATAATATAAGTTTATAAGTAATAAAATACAGAAAAATATAGAAGCAATAGAAATATTTAAATTTATAAATTGGAAAATTTTACGAAAGCTTATTTTTTAAAATATATGAAGCAAAGATATAAGTAGATTATTAATTTTTAAATAATAAAACTACATGCACACTTCTTTTATCATATAGATAATTAAAATTAAAAAAAAATCAGAGAAATATCAATTTTGCATACAGATGTCACACACACAAAAATATTGCCATCTCTTTTTTAATAAGAATGAAAGAGACGACAGTATTTATTATCAATCTTATAAAGTGCTGAGAAGCTTGTATTAAGTTAACACTTTGAACGCCATTGCAACTTTAATTGTCGGTTTCGACTGTCTTTGACTGTTTGTGACTGTCATTGAAAAGAAAAGACAACAAACATTTTAATATAATTGTCACGGCAATCGAAACCTAAGTCAATTATTAAAGTCATCGGCAGTGAATGTGTTAAAAATTTACCTGTTGTTTAAAGGCACTACTATCCAAAGTCCCGGTGTAAATGAAATTAATAATTTCTTGCATCACATTTTGTGATATCAACTTGCTCATCGTGACTATAGTTTGGGTTTGTGAGGTCGCATGTTGTATTTTGTCGCACTGAAAAGGTTAAGAACATGACAATAATAAAATTAAAACCTATATTAAGTCCTAGTACAATTTAGTTACTTTGCAAAATTTTAAAGACGACGAAAAGGAATAAATCTCTCAAGAGATCTTAGAAGAGATAAAACACTAAAAAACTCTTTTGACTGGAAGGTTCAGAATAATTACTAGAAAATATCCTAAAGACTTATCACCTTGACAACTCTAATAGAGTTAATCGCAGGATGGTTGACTTCTCTGTATAGATCTGGTGGCTTCCTGCAATTATCACTGAGTGGTAAAATCTGACAGGAAGATCGCCGCTTGATCTGATCCCAGACTCTAAAAAAACATATAGCATTTAAACTCCCAAACTACAAATAATAGTAAACGGGTTCTTTACTTCTGGGGAACATTTATGTAAGCTAACATAAAAATCTAATTTTAATAGTGTTGACGTACGAAATAACATCTAATATTTTTATTATAGTATTAGCTGTAGCACGCGACTTCTTCTGCGCGGAATTAAATGTCAAAACTTATTATAATTTGTAGCCTAGGTATTCTTCTAGACTATGCCAAATTCAACGAAGACCCTTTAAGCCGTTTTGGAGATACCTTCTAACGAACATCCATCCATCTAAATATTCGCATTTATAATATTAGTAAAAGGTGTTTCAGGACTATATTAGCCGTTATTAACAATACATTTCTTTTAAAGTTGATTGGTTAATATTTTTGTCTGACCTAATTTTTGTTTGTGTAAAAGACTTACCTCATCTGCTTGGCTTGGTCTTGCCTAATCAAGTATTCAGTATCTTCATTAAAGTCGCCTGTTGTCGCTTCTCCCATACTGCTCACCTATAAACATTAAGCGCATATAGTTAACTATCGTAGCCTTCTTTCCTTGATACAAGAGATTCCAAAACTTTTTGTTTCAACCCTTTTAAAACTTTGACTAATTTCAGCAAACTCCTTGTTTAATTTCCACCATACTTTCTAACCTAACTTAACTTCAATTCTCGCCAACGTACACCCCCAAAATTGTCTGTAATGGTTGTTCTGGACCACTTTAGAAAATCAATGCTTCAAAGAGATATACTGACATCCAAACAACTGACCTCTAGATTTTGTTTAATCTTATGACTCAAGCAACCAGTGTTTAGAGCTGCAGAAATAGGAACCTGACTACAATGCCCCCGATTTCTAAACTAAATGCCTTTGGTATCCAACTCTTATACCAATTGTTTAGCGAATGCTTCTTAAGGTGTTGATCGATGCTAATAACTTGCTTTATTACTAAGTACCTTTTTGTACACTTACCATACTACTCTCGCTGGAGCTACGAGCCAGTTCAGCTGATAGACTGACACAATCCGTAGTAAGTAGACGATGGAAAGCCTCACACGCCGCCGCCAACATGAACCTATGTACGGGAAAACCTTTCGCGCCACAGATTATCACCATGTCTGAGAAATACTGAAAAGGAATTTAACTTCTAGTTGATATTCGTGATACATATTAAAATGGTAGTAAAAGTAACTAATAAACTTATTAATAAAATTTTCACTATCTACGCTCTACGAGCTCTAACTACGATCTACGCTCTAATTGGTACACCGTAAGCTTCCATTGCCGTAGAAACGTAACATTGGAGCTTAGATAGCATAGGCTCTAAGCATAGGAAAGTTAATTTTATTACCTGTTGACGTAGTAATGTCGTCATATTTTCTAAATAAACGCTGTTCACTGTCACCACTTCGGGTTCCATCGGTCTCGGTGGTCTAAAAGGGGCCTGAGACAAGAAAAAAAGAACAACATAAGAATACCTTTTTAAAAACTTTTACTTCGATTGGATAATAGAACATTTGTGATCCCCTAAAGTCTCATGTTATTTTAAAATTGCAGGACCCCCCAGGATACGGCACCGGGTACCCCCAAAGGTTCGCTTCCCGGGGGCTTCGCACTTCTTGTACCCAAGGATTAAGACGGCTTTGGTTTTATGCTATTACCTGCAATTATTTAAGAAGATTTATGCTATTACCTGCAACAATGGCCGCTGCACTCGCTTCAAGTTAGTCATCCAGAATCTCTGCTGCCTGCGAGCTATAAGGGCAGCGCGGATAGCGTTCTCAAACACCTCGTTAACACCATAGTATGTGAACACTGATGTTTCATAGTAGTATATACCGAACTCATGAGCTAACGCACGCCCTTGATCCGGCATTACCAAGTCGCTTTTCCTTGGGGCCCTGGAGAATTTTATTCAATAAAAAAACAACACAAATGCGAAATTGATCAGTGTGATTTGGGGGTCTTAACTTCATTTGAGTGGTCTCTATAGTAATATAAACTAAAAACCAAACATTTAACATAATTTATAGAAGAATACGGCAATCTAAACTTTGTGGTGACAAACGTACGAACAGATTCTTATCCACGACGATCATGGCTCACCATAAATCATAGATTAACTCACCTAATAAATGGGCTGCGATCTTTGCAGTAGTTCAAATATGTCTCATCTCTGTACATATAGCGTAGATCATTCTTACATCCGACTAATAGCACTGGTGTGTTTGGACAGAATCGCCTACAAATGAAGAAGTATATTAATTATTTCTCACCATTTTTCACCATTAATTACTTTAAAATGAATTTGATAATGTTCAAATTACCTGATTTCAGGATACCACATAGCACCGCAATTTCTTAAAGATATCGGATTGGTGATTGAAAAACACAATAAAACAACATCCGATCTGAAATAAATTACTGTATCTAATTATATTCAGCAATGCTTCTTTTTGATTGAAATTGAAATAAGGATTCACGATATTGGGCGAATGACGTAAATGGACAACAAATTTTACTTTGACGGTCAAAGGGTTAACAGCTAAAGTGTTCATCTCTACTGTACTTATACAAGATTTCAATTTCATCCATTGGCATCCAATTCTAGATTATTTTACCTTCCATAAGCAAATCTTCTATCCTTTTCGTGATCACCAAAAGTATCCCATAACCTTAATGATACGTTCACACCGTCAACCACCTCCCAAGATCGTTCAAGGACCTGTTTGGAAATAAGTTTATGAACTAATTAATTAACCTTTACTTTCTAATACCAAAATACCCGTATAAAACTACTAACGTACTATTTATTCTGTTTTATCAAAGATAATGAGAGGGATGACGCTATGTTTTATACGGGGAGTTTGTTCACAGAAACAGAACTCACGCTTACCCTTTAAATTAAGGGTGTTAAAGTCTTAGTTACGCTGGCCAGTTGATTGGTCGACTACACACATCTTAGTATTATGCAGTGCATCATAATATTTATAAAATTTAATGATTGGATTAAAATAATCGATTTTACTTTCGCCTTTATAGAAATACATTAATTTCAACGACGTACTTTGCTCACAATTAACTCTGTACTCACATCTTTGTAAATCCTATATTGATCAATGGCCCATACAGTCGGGACGTGAGTGGTCATGAGCTGAGATAGAGATACGTGTTTGTTGCACGCCCGGGCGCAGATCAGCCGCGTCTTGCCCACAGCTGTGTCACCGACCACCACGCACTTCACCAGTTCCTGGTGAGGCTGCTCGTTGTCCATGGTCTACCAGAAAGAAGCAGATATGTAGATGCTAATATGATGTGATAGAAAGAGATAGACGACTGACAGGCCCCGAACATAAAATTTATGACGCGTACCAAAAACAATAAGATCTTTTAACAGTGGCAGAGCCCACTTTAACATTATCGCACGAATCGGCCCGGCTCGCCCGGTGAAATACCACGACGACACAGAAGACAGGCGTGAAGTGGAAGCAATTCCGCGTACAGTCTGATGAGTGTGCGTCCCGGAGGCCTAATTTAGCCCTCTTTCCCTTCCCACTCTTTTTCTTATAAGGAAAGGATGGTAAGTGGAAGTCGACTTTCCGGATGAGAGGATGCATGCGAAGGGAAAATATTTTCTTTCTGTGCATTTTCTCGTTTATAATAATAAAAAAAATCTAGTCTGCGTATTGTGGTTATTTGTCTGAAGAAATGACATATTTCTTTTTATCACCAGGCAAAAAGTAGTCTTATTTTTTGTGTTACATAAATATGCCTAGATTATTTTCGTCCAATAATTTCAATATTATGCCAAACACAGAGACAAATAAATATAATGTTGTAAAAAAATACCTGTTTTTACGCTATGGTGCCTGTACAACATATTAAAAACTAGCAGTCGTCCCCGGCTCCGTTCGCGCGGAATTAAAATAAAAAAAAAATTAGTACCCTATGTGTTCTGTAACGAAAGTCCTCAAATATGAATAATTTTCCCCGTTTTTGCAACAATTCTCACTGACGCTTCGCTCATGTTGGTCGCAGCATAATGTTATACAGCCTAAAGCCTTCCTCTATAAATGGACTATCCAACAAAAAAAGTTTTTCAAATCCGACCAGTAGTTCCTGAGATTAGCGCGTTTAAGCAATCAAAGCAGTAAAAAGCAGTATATAAAAGAATTTCGTTGCGTTATTTACCCAGTAAAAACGACAAACACACCTAGGCCTTTTAGCCCAACCCAATCAAGCAAATGCTTTTAACGTAAAAATATTTTTAAACCCGCATTTCTATGAAATCATAACAACGTTTACTGTAAGATTATTTTTATATAAATTACTCATAAATTTCTACGCAATTTAGTAGAGGTTTTTTAATCTATACCCTTTATTTTAACCTATTTCGGCGTTAAATATTTTACTATTCTTTCAGCATCCATAAAATTATGGAGATTTATTTATTTACAAGCTGTTGCTCACACTTTGTCAGCGTAGAATTAAAAAACAAAAAAATTACTTCCGCATGACCTATTTTCCATTAAAATTCACATCAAACTCGGTCCAGCCGTCTCAAGATTACCGACAGACAATAAAAAAATTGACTTTTCGTTATAAGTAACGTAAAATACATTACGGGCACTAAAGATAACAATTATTAATAACGAATTATTATTATTATAAATGCGTAGGTTTGGATGTTTGTTAGAAGGTATCTGCAAAACAGCTCAACGTAATTCGATGAAATTTGGCTATGCAGAACATAGTCTAGAAGAAAACATAGGCTACTTATTTCGTTTTTTTTTAATTCCTTACGCACGGAGTCGCGGGAGACAGTATTTTTATTAATTTTATAGATAGATTGGACAATATAATAATCGCTAGTTTTATTAGACTATTAAATCTAGAAAAACCATGCATAACAGAAAGCGTACAAAAAAAACTCTGAGAGTGAAGTGTTTTGTTTCATATTTTTTACGTAACAAATGTGAGTTGAGCAAACACCCTTGAATTTGTAATGCGACGATGCTTTTAAGCTCTATGTTTATAGCTCGTTTTAAGTACAAAGTGTTAATTTTACATTACCTTTTAGAAAGCACTCTGTTTAATTAATATGGATTTTTCAACTACAATTTAAAAGAAGTCGTTTCCATTTAAAAACACTTGTAGAAAATTGCTTGACTATGGTCTTTATCTATAAAAAAATATTTTATTATCAAAGCAACTCCTCTTTTTGAATCACGGGCTATTATACAAAGCTTTAAATCATGAAAAATTATTAAAAAAATGACCTATAATGATAATATTTAAAATTCTTTTAATTTTTAAAGTCGCGTGTTCTTTTATGTTAAATAACTAATAACAATGCGACCCAGTTCCAAGTTTGTTAAACCGTTTATTGCCGACCATACTCTAATTTAACTACCGAGATTTTATGTAGTCGCTTTAGTATCATAATTTCATAACCAAGGCTACCTATCGTCTTATTACCTACTAAAGTACTAAAGTCTGTAACCTAGAGATAGACATTACTGATATCCATAGATCTTGGATATTGATTTGGACATCCTGACACAGATATCTGGATTTACCGCCAGTCCTACAAGCTAGATCTATCTAGTAGTTATTTGTTTTTATTCCAAAGGAATATCAACACGTGTTTCAATAAAAGAAATTGACAAGTAGTAGTTGTAGAGGGGACCTACAGAAAGAGGATATTTCCCCTTTCTATGCATCCGCTCATGCACCAAATCCAATTGGATTTGGTGTATGAGCGGCTGTTATTAAGAGGAATTCCTCTACCCATCATTTCTATATCAGAAAAGGGTGGAAATGGAATGTGGACTAAAGTTAGGCAGCAGATATTATTCTATGCGTTTTACTAGAACATTAGTATTGTCTATCACATAAATGCGTGAATTTTCCTTAAAATAAATCTTAATATCAACTAAAGTATGAAAGCAGTGGCTGCACACAATTTATAACAAAGATACTCGAGATGTAATTCAATAACACGACAACAAAGGACGATGACAGACGTCCTATTCAGATGCAAATAAAAGTTATTTTTAGCCCTTTGTTAACATTACCACTTGTATGTACTACATTGAAATGTTTCTTTGCTATTTCGCTAACATAAAATGGATTTATTAACGTGGAAATGTAAAATAAGTTATTGAAATCTCGCAATTTATTCGAGATATTTTTAATTTTCATTATATCGAACGGAAAACCATCCGCGCGGAACAAAAAAAAAATATGTGTCTTCCAGACTATGTTCCGCATGCCAAATTTTATAAAGATCCGTTGAGTCGTTTAGGAGATACCCAAACATCTATTTATCCATCCATCTAAACTTTCGCATTTATAATATTAGTAAAATTAGTAAGATTTATTACATAATAATGTATCAAACACCACCATCTAATAAGATGGTGGTGTTTGTAAAGGCAGTTGCCGCCAAAACTAAAATGATTTAAAAAGATAACGTCCAAATATAAGTCAAAATGTTAACGTCAAAAAAATTATTCAAAAACAAAAGAGTTATTTGGACCTAACAAAACTTATTTATAAAGAGAAGTAATTCTTTAGACAGTGTGGCTATACAAACTATAAAGGAGTATGAATGCAAAAGAACACATAGAAGGGATTTACTATAATTGGATTGTCACACAATTGATGTCGTAATAAAAATGACATCATTGATTCCTATACTCTACTACGACAATGATATAAGCAAACATTAAATGTACAGAGGGGAGTTAATGAGTTATCATAATTAAGTTTTACTTTTGTACACCTGGTCAGATAACTTTGTAAGTCTATCTTACTAATATAACTTAACAGTTGGATTAAGAGCCCAATACAAAGCAGTTATTCTAGAAACCACAGCCATTGTGAGAAGGTTCCTGTCTCCGCAGCCCTGACCACTGTTTCCTTGAGTGATTGGATTCTGCACCCGGAGGTGCTCTATTTTTAAAATAAGAAAAATAAATTAATATCTTACTAATATTATAAATGAGAATGTCTAGATCCCATCTATGCAGTAGGCGGTCATTTGAAGATATCTCAAAGAATGGCTGAACAGACTTAATTCATACTTAGGCATACTTATAGAACATAGTCTGAAAGAACGCACAGACTACTATTTTTTGTTTTTAATTTTATAAGTCACTGGTAACAGCTAGTATATACAGATGAACATTATGTAAATGTCTTATACAAATAAAGGCTGGCAATACATTAATCACCCTATTGTTTGTGCGAGTAACCACTTAAAATGATTGAAGTGGTTATATGTCAACTTGTTCAATAAAATGTTACAGGCATATAAGTAAAAACTGTAGAAGAATTGATAACCTCCTTCTTTTTTAAATCGGCTACAAGGGGCTTTAATAGCCTAAAGGTTGAGGGTGCGGACATGACTGTTAATGAGCAATGTACATAAATTTGGTTTTTATGATGAAATTATTGTTTTTTTTTAAGACTTTTAGAGACTAATTATATAGTTTTAAACATTTTTTTTAAAATTAACAAATAAAAAATCAATACCAAGAAAGAAGAGATTATGGATTTCATATGATATGAATTTGCCATAAAAAGATATCCGGAGGACTTTTTTCAAAAACATCTCTTTCAATCATTTTCAAACACAAAAACTTTTGCTGTATAAATTCATAAAATATATTATTTAAAGGAATTCTTTTATGTACACACAATATGTGATTAATAGATTATTAATAATAATTTTTCAACAGGTATAATAATTTTAAATTTTGATAAATCTGTGTTTTTAGCTAAAAGACTTGGAAATGAAAGCTAATTAACATTTAAAATGGAAATATTTATTTATTAAAATAGCTTGAACATATTAAATTTTATTTCAAAAGCTTTAAAAGAAGTAAATATAATATAAAGATTACCTTGAAACATCCTTTTTAATTTTAAATAATTTACACGATACAAAGTATAATTTTGTAGATATAAAAACATTATAAAATTATTTCTGTCTCCCCCTCAAGAATGTTAAAAATTCAAGTATTATCTAAAATAATTTAATTTAATACAAAATTTAAAAAAAATTACAGAGGAAAGTTGATTGTGTCAAAAGTTATTTTGACAACAATTAAATAATGTTGCCTTATAATTAAAAAAAACACGATTAAACAACAAAAGATTAGAGCACGATAATATATGTTTGTCTTCTAAATTATTACGATCTAATAAAAATAAGGCAACATAAAAAAAATAAACAGAACCATTTCACCAAAGTATTGAAATTGAGGTATAATAAAATAACAATTAAAATTATATTTAAATTAATTTAGTGGAAACCTTGAATAGTTTATTTTAAGTGTAGATTTTATTTGGATTCAAAGTCAATTTCACATTTCCACGATATGTTAAGTTCTTTTGAATGGAATTTAGCGTTACTTACATGTGTTTGTCTGCTTCTTCACAAAATAATTTTAATCATATGAACATTTTCACTTTCTATTTCACTAAATATATTCACACATTAACACAAATAAATGACATTAAGTTAGAGAAAAAGCCGTGAAAAAATATAAATGTAGTTTCTAACCGGAGCTAAAACAGTCTGAAGTTGATTTTGTAGCAATGCAGTGTTCTGCGCATGTTTTATGAATGAAGAATCCCTCGCGCAGACCCTCTACAAAACGGGGCGAGCACATTTTAATTATGTTATTGATAAAGTCTGATGAGTCAATGAACTTGTATATTGCCTTTTGTTCTAATATATTAAGTTTGATTTTACCTAGACTATGTGATGTACTTCAATTAATAAATACTTTGTGCTGCAAAATTGATGACAAAATTGCCAACATCCTTATTACCGCTGAAGTTTATGGAAGGACTAATTTTGTAACAAAGGCTTTTCTTAGATCTATGTTTTTGTAAGAGCGGTTGTTTTTTTGAATGTAAAAGATTCATATTTAGCTCCATTTTATAAAAAAAATAGTTTCTTATTTCAAAGCGCCTAACATAATATACTACGCAATAATGTTTGTTGTGAATACATTTAAATGAGATTAACGTTATATCAGGGCCTGTCTGTTACCCATTCTGCATTTAAGTGTTACTAATTGATAACTAGGTTTCATTCTTTCATATAAAAATGCATTTTAAAACGAATTAAGTAACTCCTTTTTTGTGAATTCTGTGTACTAAATAATCTATGATGACGTGGTATGATTTTAATAAAATTAATTTTGTTTTTTATTTTTATAGCTTTCGAAATTCATTTCTTAAATAGGTATCTTTTCTCAATTAACGTTGCGAAATAATTAAAGTAAATTAATAAAATATCGATTTACTTTTTCATGCAATTTCAAGACCGGCCACCAAGAAAATCAGTTAGAATTAAAAAAGAAGTTACAGACTTTTTGTCTTCAGGCTTCTGTCAGGTGATGGTTTTGGAAAATACACCGTGTTTTACAATTTAATAGAATATTGTATATTGGGACTATGACGCCAAATATTTTTAAATTATTTTACATTCGATATACGTAACAAACAATTTTGTACCAACATAAAAAATGGCTAATTTTGCGTTGCTTTGGAAGGCACGCATTATCGAGAAATATAGATCGGAATATGAAAAAGAGAAAATTAATTCAGTGCTACAAACCAATGTTGAAGTTCCGAAGAACACGTTGATGCAAAAATGGTCACATTACAGTTACAATACGAAAAAACGTTTGGTAAAGAAGTTTAAACATTTGTGCCCCGAAGGATCTTCCGTTTTCAATTTATTGGTTTATTTGACAACCGATCAGACATTTCCAAATTTCTTAATGAAGAGCGTCATTGGATTTATTGGAGGGATTGTATTTACATATTTATGCTTCATGTTTTTCGTATTTCAATTATCAATATCCCTGATGCATGCTACTATTATGAGCTCGATAATCGGCGTCCTACTTACTTTGGGATTGGCTTTTAGCTATCGAGTAAGGTAAATATATTTTTTTTCTTTTATAACTTTAAAGACCTTCACGTTGTCAGGACAGTTGTATTTCAATGCGCATTGCGACTATAAAATTTAAAGTTAAGTTGTAACCGCAATATGACAACGAAAATTTTTTTACGCTAATAAAAAATGGCAGTGATTCTACCAAAGTTTTTTTTTACGTAAGGCGACAAACAAGCAAGTGGCATTAATTCGCCTAAATAGCATAGTGGCTGCTGCACATAGACATCCGCAATTGTAGATGCGTTGCCTATCAACGGAGGAGGAAACGCATATTTCTCCTTCCTCTTTACCTCCTACATCAAATTCACTTCGTCTTCCCATCATTTACTTATAAGAAAAGGGTGGGAAGGGTTAGGGACTAAATCCTCCATCACACATCAGACGAAGCGTAGCATTACTTCCACTTCAAGCCTGTGTCTTCTGTGCATCTTCTGTGTGGTCGTGGTATTTTACCGGTCAAGGTGGCCTACTCGTGCAATAGATGTTGTTAACGTTTACCATTGTTAAAAATGGGTATATCGCGAGGTCATAACTATCCAAGCCACGGACGAGGTTGGATGTCTGTTGTCTGGTGTGTCTATTCCCGAACTAGTGTTAGGAAATCATATCAAATAGTAATTATAATTCTACTTCCATAGATGTCTTGTATTTCTACTGATACCGCAATTCTTCTCCCGTGTTGGGAGATATACGTTGACCTGCTATGCTTTAGTGCTGATACTGACAGGCCCTGCGACAAACACATTGAAGAACTCTGAAGTGTTATCAGAATCTATGGCTTGTCATCAGGTAATCATTCAAAATACATACTGAAATTCCTGTATGAACGCATACATTGCTTACTGGCCTAATGAGTAGACTAATGTTATTCGATTGTGTATAGTACTTTTTAGATATCTTGGCTCTTCTTAACTTTGCGAAGTCACTGGGCAGAACACAATTTTAGTTGTAGCGAAATGCAAATGGGCCGCCAAGTTATTTGAAATGAACTATACTTATCTGTTCCGTTGTGGTCACCCATTGTTAGCTCCTAGACTTTTTAGTCAATCACACGTATTTTTCCGCTATTAAAAAAACATTGTAGACCTTCACTACGACGTAGACATAGCTGGCAAGACAAAGTGCAATCGTTTCGAGGCGATTCCATAGCGAATTTCGAAAATGTATGAAACTGAGGCGCAACAATTATTACTCATTCAAAGTTATTTGACGATTCTATACATTTTTGAAGTTCGTTATCGAATCGCTTCAGAGCAAATGTCTAGCCCCGCTGATCAGACTCTGTTCTCTTGGAACTATAAAGTATTTTTCTTATTAGGAACAAATAAAGACAAGCGTAAAGGATATAACAGATTCCATAAAGAATCCATTTAACGCCATGAAAGATTGGATAGAGACAATGACGGAAGGTATAAAAGGCATCGCAAAGAAACTAAAAACTACACTAGTTACGACACATCGATTGGTGATTAGTATTGGTAAGTGATACGCTTTTATCGTCATCACTAGCGGTCGTCTGCGACTGGGTCGGCGCGGAATTAAAAAACTTACTATGTAGCATATGTGTCCTTCTAGACTATGTTCTATATGTATGCCAAATTTCATCAGATTCGTTCAGCCGTTCTTCAACCTTCAAACAAACATCCATTCATCCATCTTTTCAAACATTCGCATTTATAATATTAGTAACATAGTAAGATTTAATCGCAATCATTTTACGTTTTAATTGACTTCTCTTGCACTTACATATTCTAACACGTTTTATTGATTTTGTTAAGACTTTGTTCTTCTTGATTGCTATTTGTAATGGCTATGTTGAAACGAAATTTCTAAAATCATTCCAGCTAACGTTCTAGAATCATCCTTTCCATGGTTGAATTCTATCACGAAGAAATGTAACCAAAAGTTAGGAACGCCGTACCAACATTGCGTCCGTATGTTGAACCTAGGTGGTAGCAATAGGATTTTACGATCAAAAGTACCAAGGTTCTTTAACTTTGATTATCTGGCTGAAGTCTCATGCCAATCTTTGAAACGATTCAGAAGAATATGTGAAATTGCTGATTATACTAGGACTACTATTATTGCCACAATGAAAAGAAGTAAGTTTTAGTTCTGTTTTGTTTCTTAATACTTTTAGACATTACTAGCTGTCGCTCGTAACTCCGTCCGCGTGGATATAAAAAAAAAAAAACTTAATTAGTGTAGCCTATGTGTTCTTTCAGATTATGTTCTATATGTATGCCAAATTTAATCGAGATCCGTTCAGCCTTTCTAGAGATATCTTCAAACACCCATCCATCCATACACATCACATCCATCTAAACATTCGCATTAATAATGTTAGTAAGTTAAATTCAAAAGCAGCTCTTCAAGCTATAAATACGAAAAAAGTGAATAAATAGTATCCTATGTCCGTCTCCTGGCTCTAAGCTACCTCCTCTCCATTTTTCAGCCATATTGGTAAAGCCGTTCTTGAGTTATAGTGTAACCAACACGACTTTCTTTAATGTATATAGATTACTTAGAATCCTCTGGTGCGAATGGTGCGCTTTCGTTACCAAATCAAGTGTCAGAATGACTGGTTCAAGGGACAAAAACGACAGCATTTTAGTAAGGCTAGTGTTGCGCCAGTACACCGTCACAGTGTCGGATTTTCTTCCTAACAATACGAAATTTTAAGGAATAATTAATAGTTTATTTTTTACGATAATGCATTGATCATGGGGCCATAAAGTTTATAATACTTAAGTAACAAGATAACACAGTGATGGTTTTAAATTTTACAAGATTCACCAACAATCTGGTTAATTTTACTTAGATAAAATGGGAAGGGACGATTGATGGGGGAGGTATCAGACTATTTACAGACAATCGATGAATTAACAAGATTGTGGAAATCTGCATATCCTTAGCAAGGCTACATTTAGCAATCTTTTATGTGTTTATGAGATTTCTCAACCAACATTGAAAATTCTATTTAATGTCTCTGTTCAGAATTCAAGAGCTTCGCTAAACGTGTCCAGTCATTACTCTGCGTTAAGATCCACGTCCATCATTCGTATTCGTTCAGTAGCAATGCTAGTCGCTCCGCTAGTCAGGTCGCGGCTGGTATTGTTACTGAGATCAGGAACAGAGCAGACCCATTGCTGACTTGGTTGTCTTGGAGCTCTTGCGTCACTAGCTTGTTTTTATTACTTATTATTTTTAGGTGAGTTGGTAGAACTTCGCTACTTAATTCTTCTTTAGACCCATAATTTTGTGGTCGGCTAATGTCTCACAGATTTTTGGCTGATGCACCGTAATACTACTAAAATATCAATTACATCTGACATTATCAATTTTATATTTTACTAATAACCATCCATGATTCTGTCCGTGTGTGATAAATAAATTAATTATTAACCTATGTGTTCTTCCAGACTATGTTCTAGATGTGTGCCAAATTTCATCAAGATCCTTTGAGCTGTTCCGAAGATACCTTCAAACAAACATGCATTCGACTAAACATTCGCATTTATAACATTAGTAAGATTATTTAACTTAGAACCAGTAATTTGATGTTAAAAATCTTACAGAGCTAAAAAGTACCAACACATGTACGACACTAGATCTCGTTTCGACAATCGTTATATTACTAAAGAGCTTCGTAACTTGGATTTTGAAAGGCTTAAAGAAGGCAAAGAAACGGTCCTCCCGTTGAATCGCCGAGAGAAAGCCAAATATATCACTGTGAGTGTACTCTCCTAACATTATATAGCAAATGCTTAAGACCAATAAGTCGACCAAATATAATATGAAGTAAAACATTTAACAGAGTACACAATGATACAAAAATCTATACTATTGATTTGGTTAGTTATTAAATGACCCAAAATATCAGATTGTAATCATTATGTTTTGTTCTAAATATCAACTTAATTAGCGATGACTCTTTTGATTGATGAATAAGAAAGTTCAATCTGAGACCCTTCATACACAAAACAAAGTAAATCGTCGAAACCAATATTATATGGTCGCGACGCGAGAATGTTGTGCTTGCTTCGTACACAACGTTGAATTATCAACCCGCGTCTATTCGGTCAGTACAGGCAACGTCAACAGTTGCTCTGCCATCTTGAAGATCATAGCTACAGAAAAGAGAGAAAGAGTTTCTCAGCTGTAGTTGCCGTGTTTCGAAGATTTACGTTGCCTTGTTTATGAAGGGCCTTATTTAAGTATCGAGTCGTCTTTTATACTTGTGTATATTTTACAGACAACTTCATTCAGATTATTAGCATCAGAGAAAGTCTACCTAACTCGGTCTATAGTTCACATGGTGATCACGACATTTAAGCTGCTTATCCACATGGCAGCCGATTATAGTCTGTACTGGGTGTTGATGACGATACGATATCATGAGAGATTCCAAACGCCTTTGCAACGTAAGTTCAACCTTTTAACAGATATCAACGGGTTGTTGAATTTTACAACTAGCTGTCGTCCGCGACTCCGACTGCGAGGAATTAATAAAGAACTACAAATAACCTATGTGTTCTTTCAGACTATGTTCTACATCTTTTCCAAATTTCAACGATTTCCGTTGAGCCGATCCTTACCTTCATACATACAACCATCCATCTAAACATTAGCATTTATAATGAAAGTAAGATAAGTTAGATGTTCGGTTGTATCTTCGCTATTTGATCTATTGTTGAATTATGCTAAAATTATTTTTTTTTAAATAATTAATACCGTTTTTAGTAATGTTATGAGTTTCATTTATTGAGTAAGGCAAATATTAAGTTCAGTTATGGTTAGTTGGACAAAGCCAAATTGAAATCTTAAGTGCTACTTTAACTAATGTAGATTTAGCAAAAGAAATCAAAACTAAGCTAATGTTTAAGTATTCATTAACCCACTTTGAGTGCGGTATGTAGGCCAATGGAGGCCATTCGATTCTTATTCCATCCCGAAGTGTCGTTTAGTCTGAATCTTTGAATGTTAATTTACTAACTACGTATACTTCCCATTGATTTTTCTAGCGGGACCAACAAATGCAGGTGTTCATGTATCTGGAAGTGGCCCAGTGGCAGAAATGCTACGTTCTTTGATCGGATTCCTGACCCTACCTCTATCCGCACATCCATCTTCCACTGTCTCTTGTCTACCCAACCCTGACCCGCCGGATTTGTACCGATATACACAAATAGGTAAGAAAACAAGATTTTTTTTTATATCAAGGTTATCGCAAACAAACGAGCGGCCACCTGAAATCGTTAAAATAGCGAAGCGACCGTTGCCCATACACATTTGCAGAGGCGAAGGATGCACAGAAATATGATATTTTCCCTTTTCATTTATCCTATCACCCAGAAAATCCACTTCCACTTTACATCCTACTGTAAGGAAGAAGATGGGAAAGGAAAATTGACTAAAATTAGGCCTCCGGGACGCTCACTCATCAGACTGTTGACTTGACGCCTGTCTTCTGTGTGGTCGTAGTATTTCACCGGGCGAGTCCAATTCGTGCGAAGATGTCAAAGCGAACTCTACCACTGTTAAATTTACTTTGGTCTTCTACCTCTAGCCATAAAAGTCTTTTCTCAACAGGTGTACTGATATTTCTTCTATGGTTCTTTGCTCTATTTGAGCCTTATGGGTTACGATTGAGTCACGTTATAATGGGACATTATAGACCAGAACGAGCGAAAGCTAGAGCGTTGTGGCTTTACAATCATATATTGAAGAGTAGAGGTAAGTTTTAAACTATTATTAGGTAACTAAAAATCTTGTTTTTAGCCGACTTCAAAAAGAAGAAAGTTATCAATTCGTCTGTATGTTTTTTTAATGTGTGTTACCGAGTAACTCCGCCGTTGGTGCTCCGATTTTGTTTTTTTTTTGTTTTTTACTTTTATATCCTTAGTTAACCTTCTGGTTATGAGTACATACAGGATAACTTGGGTGAACGGGAGTCCAAGAGACCGCGTTTTTCTCGATTAGAGAGATTTCTCTCTAACTCGAGTTTCACCCTTATGTAGGTCGTCCGTCAGAACTGAACAATGACTCTCTTATAGAGTTTTCTGGCTTTTCCAATCCTCGTTTATTCAATATTTAATTTCAACTGTATATAATAATATTACATGAAACTAGCGGACCCGGCAGACGTTGTCCTGTCTACACGTCTTTAATTTGAATAAATTAATATGAAGTGAATATTTGATGAAAATTGTGAATCCAAACCATTCCCAGATCCCCTTGAAAACACAAAAAATTTCATCAAAATCGGTCCAGTCGTTTGTGAGAAGTTCAGTGACATACACACTCACAGAAGAATTATATATATAAATGTATGACGTACTTTGTGACACTGTTCGTGTTTAGATATGATTTTATTACAAAATTACTCTGAATATTCAACAACGTTGGATGAATTTCACGCTCTATATCCTTAGTTTCCCTTCCACCGGTTTAATGGGTCGCTTGAAGTGCTATAGTGATGTTTTATGTTATATTATGTATTAGATATATTTATAAAGTGATTAGTTATATTTAAAGAAAATAAAAATAAGGGTTCTACATAACTAATATAGGTAAAGCAATTTTTATACGCGGGTTCTCGTCTCCCATACTGCGATGCGATGTTACTCTTAGTACTTGAATAATCTTTTTATTTTGTAAAGACAGTAAACGCAGTTCGAAAATATATAACATCATGAATAAAACTTACAAAATGCAGCCTATAGCTATTCTCACTCTTGTCTCTTCTCTCTCTCTTTTATATAGCTCTTAGTAGTGATGTTTGTTTTTTGTAAAATAACATATTTTAGTTTGTTTTAATTAAATTTAATATTTAAGGTGGTTTCATGAAGTTCGCTAGAAGAAAATTGCATAAAGAATATAAATATTTTAATAAAGATAACCTAACTTTTGTAGAATGGCTGGATTCTATTTTGCCGTAAGTTATTTTAGTACTGACAATACCAAACGACATCTACTTTCAGCATTTTTTTTACAAGGAAATGATATGTAGACTAAAGAAATAATAAAAGTTAATGATAGATTTTGTTGTGACTTTTTGTATTTTTTTATTTCCCATTTTAGCAATCGAGTACAAAAAAAATTGTGTCTTGTCTTTCTGTTTTATAAGTCTATATGTAATTTGTAGCAGTATTATTTTAGTTTTATTTATATTAGATGCTGGTGGCTACGTTGTTTACTAGGAACATTACCAAAAGAACCAAATTGTTTGCTCTGTGGAACTTTTGAGGAGCCAAATAAATTGGATTCGAAACTTATCAGGTATATATTCAATGAAAATGTTTATACTAATTGTGTGTTGGGTTTTTTTTAAAGAAAACTGCATTCTTTTAAATTGTTCACTTCTAGTAGATTGTAATAAAAACGCACTGTTCCTATGGTATCTAGCCGCGCATAGTTGAGTCATGTCTATATTCTATTGTTCGCATATTTCATCTCACTATTATAAATGCGAATATATGGTTGGATGGATGTTTGTTACAAGGTATCTTCAGAACAACTGCATGGATCTCGCTAAAATTTGGTACAGATGTTGAATATAATCTGGAAGAACATGTAGGCTACTAATTGAGTTATTTTTTAATTCCGCGAAGACGGAGTCGCGGGGTGCAACTAGTATTAATATAAATATTTTTTTTATTTAATTTTAGATGTGATACTCCTAAATGTCCAGGTGTATATTGCGAACATTGCTTCAATGATTTAGGACAATTGTGTACAATTTGCTTGAATCCCGCGGACTACGGTGATTTGAGTGATGTTAGTTTAGAAAAGTAAGTATTGTCTTCTTTTAAAGTTATATAAAAACGGCTCACGAATATTCGTCCGGCGGCTCCGACTAGTTTCGAACCCACCGGAAGCCCTTCAAGTGAGCTGAGGGCCGCTTCTTCGAAATAATACCAGTCCCATTCACCCTGATGAAGGGCCCCCGATGGGCCTGAAAATAATCGCTGCCGCCACCGATATACGCAAGTGTTAAGCCGTTTTTAAATAAGTTTATGATGTCATATTTTCCTTAAAAATTTGTACTTGATAAATATTTTTCTTATACAGAGGTTCTTCTGAAGATAGTAATAGTGATTGTCAGGATTTCGATGAACTAATGGATGCTGAAGATGTTACAAATTTTAGACACGCCGTAAGTTCCTGGCTTCCTCACTCTATAAATGTTACTAATATTATAAATGTCAATGTTTGCATGATATTTGGTTAAAGGTTCTCCGGATAACTGAACGTATCACGCTGAAAATTTGTCTTAGATGTAGAACATAGTGTAGAAGAACACATAGGCTACTAAGTTTTTTAATTCCCTGCAGACGGAGTCGCGAGCGACAGCTAGTTGCACTATAGAATGTTTGTGTACTGTAGTCTAAAAATTCCATAGATGTAGTCTATGCTAATTCCTAATTTTTGACAATTTGTGTGCGATTGAAAATTATATAATTTCAGAAAAATATTATTAACAAACCGAAAAAGATTTGTGAACGGTTTGAATTGTTGCCGAAAAAGCAAATAGATACAAGAGATTGTTTTTTAACTCAAACAAAAAGTAACTATGTTAAAGAGGATTCGCTAACATATAAGAATGGTAGACGTCCACTTGCTGAATTGAATGGGAACCAAAGAAAAGCAAATATAATTGGACATTTCAATAATGGTTACCAATTTGATATGAAATTTGAAACAAATTTGATGCCTTTAACTGTATCTAGTAAACAGTACAATAATTTATATCCTAGTAGCACATATTATCCAACAAGTATGGACGAAAAAGTAGAAAAATGGAGAATATCCAAACACAATGTGAATTCCAAACTCAATAATTATGTCCCTAAAAATTCAAAAGGTAATAAAGAAAACAATGATTTAAAAAGACTTTTCTCGGAGTACAACGACGCTGGAGATAATTTGAAATATAAAAGGAAAAACGAAATAAAGACAAAGGAAATGAAACTAAAGCCATATATTATGGATTATCTGAGAAATAAAGTGAACAAAATGCAATTTCGTAGATTGAATTTCTTATCAACAAGCTTAACTTCATTGAGTGATTCTAAATATAGATGTAGTACCAGAAATAATTTCCATGACGTATTAACAGGTTGCAGTGACTATCCATCCCCAAAATCTAGTTACTATGTGATAAAATTTAAATCCAGTTCTCTAACAGTTTCTAGAGTGGCACATTCTAATAAAATAGCCAAGAACTTACGACATAATTACAAAAGCATTTTCCGATGCAGTAGCAAAGATAGAAAAAGTAATTCTCGTTTATTCGCAAATGAAACTGATTATTGTAGCTGTGATTATAACTTTATCGAACCACAGAATATATCTGATTATTGTAAAAGTTCGTGTTTTATAAAATCCAGTAAATCAGAATCAAATTCTAAGCAAACATTGGACAATAAAAAAACAAGTAAAACACCTCAGGATGAATCTAACAAAGAAGAAGTATCTAAAAATAACGAAGGCAATGATAATAATGCATCAGGTCAGGGTGATAAGCAAGAACCAAATAAGCCTGAGAGTAAAAGTACTTGTCGTTGTATCAAGAGGATGCGTAGGCTTTGCTTCTGTCGGCATAGAAAATTTAGTTTCACCCCGTGCTCAGTTTTTAAGAAAATGTTCAGAAATAACAAGAAAGCATCGCCTCGATCCCAGAAAACTAATCACAAGAAAAGAAAAAAGAATAGTCACTCGTCAAGTCGTAAAAGTGATGAAAACACAAAGAGAGATAAGGATGACGAGGCTGCTAGGATTTATAGACTGTCTGAATACATCGGCCAACAGGATTGGAAGAAAACACAATTTAGTAAATCGAATCATTTGGAATTGAAAAAGAGGAAAATATTTAGAACTAATTCAGCTAAAAGTTTGCACAGACTTAAACTTCATTCTGGATCGAAAATGGTCGATGTTGTAAATATTTCTAAAGTAAGACACTTTTATTAAAATCTGTCTTCTAATTTAAATCGTTTTTAAATAATTAGGGCAATCGCCCAGGGCAGTGGGCATAAGAGGCTTGAGGCCAGGGCCAGACTCGGGTAAAAAAGGGGCGACTGCGGCAACCCCTAAGATATCGTTGGAAGATTTCCCCTGAAACCAAAAAAATGTGGCGCCACAAAAGTGTCCCTCTGGGTGCCGCAGAATGCTAAAACCGGCCCTGTATATAACGAAATGTAACATTTTCAGGTCAAACAAAAGAAGAAAAACAATACGAAACTGATTAACGCAATTGAAGATGTAATAGCTGGACAAGAAACAGATATTGAATTAAAATCAAATTCAAAGAAAATGACCATCACAACAGCAGAAAATACCGGTAATAGTTGTTTAGTATTAAAAAATTGTTAGGTCTATTCAATAGTTTTCTATGTATATTATTTAAAGCCCCGTACACACCGTCTCGATGGCTGGCAATCCACAATCGTGCGGTTTGCGTAAAAATTCCTGCCTCGCACAGCCGCGTTGTGGAATGGTCTGTCCTCGGCGGTATTTCCAAACCAACTTAGGGTCCTTCAAGAAGAGAGAGTATCGTCATCTCAAAGGCCAGCAACGCATCTGCGGTTCCTCTGGTATTGCTGATGTCCATGGCCGTCGTTGGACACGCGGCCACACACCGTCAAGGGCCCTGACTGTAGTAATATACGTACTAAATTGTTGATGGAAATATTTTCTTTCGACAGGGAAAACCGCGAAATCCTTAGTGACGCATAAATGGTTTAATAATTACTATTCATTGCTTCCAAATACTTCCTCCTTTTCATTAAGAACAATCATGAAGGCAAAGAGAGCAGGTAGGTTCTACAATTTGCTTTCATTATCAGCTCACTATAAGTCCCCACAGAGGGGCTCAGAGCCTTTCCTAAGTTAGGGGTGACTAGGCCATAGTCAACCAAGTACGGGTTGGTTGACTATGGCTTAGTCAATTTTCAATCACAATTTTCTTTAGATTACTGAAAACCGGATACAGCCTAGATGGAGAATTTAGAATAATACTAGCTGTCGCCCGCGACTTTGTACGCGCGGAATTAAAACTTAATAAGGAGCCCGTGTGTTCTTCCAGACTATGTTCTACATCTGTGCCAAATTTCAGCGAGATCCATGCTGCCGTTCTGGAGATACCTTCTAGCAATATCCATCCATCCATCTAAACATATGCATTTATAATATTAGTAAGATTTAAACACTTGTCTAGACAGAAAAATGATTAGTAAAAGATGAGTAAAACGATTCTGGTATGATAATATTTTTTTCTTTTATTTTTTTTACTGCAATGACTATAATTTGTCAACTTTCAGCCAATTCTGTCTCCGACTACGGCATGTCTAGAAGTTTAAGATATTATTGTTCTATAGGAAATACTGAATTCGATCAAATTGATTGGCCGTAAGTTAACATTACTTTTTTAACATTGCTTAAGATATACACTAGCGGTAAACCGCGACTCCGTCCGCGCGGAATTTAAAAAAATAATAATTAGTAATCTATGTGTTTATCCAGACTATATTCTATATGTAAGTCAATTTTCATCCAGATCCGTTCAGCCGTTCTGCAGATAGCTTCAAACAAACATCCATCTAAACATTCGCATTTATAATATTAGTAAGAAGTTAAAGATTTAAATTTGTTTGTTGTAACAGGGATGCATTTAAAACCCGAGGTCTAACGAAACATTTATTGAAAAAGGAAGAAGGAACTTTGAAATCGGTAAGTAAAAATGCGTTGAAAAGTTTGTCGTATTTATTACTGATAGCTGTCTTGCGACTCTGTCCGCGGAATTATAAAAAAAATAATGAGTAGCCAATGTGTTTTTTCCAGACTATGTTCTACATCTGTGCCAAATTTCATCAATATTCGTTCAGCCATTTCTAAGAAACTTTCAAACAAACATCCATCCATCCATTTAAATATACGTTCGCATTTATAATATAATTAATATAAGTAAGAATAAAAACGTTAAAATGTTTGTAATTTTATAGTTAAAGGGTGAGAGTGAAGCATCTCCATACCATAGCTGTTGCTGCAGTTCAGAAGGTAATTATTTTATATTCAGAGAAATATATAATCACAAGAGTGTAGTCAAAACTAAGATAGAAAAAAGCCTTATGTTTTTTAAATAAAATAATGAATAAAGATATTTTGTCTTTGTCTTTGTTACAGATATATCAAAGAAATATTTGAACAATTTAAAACATTATCAACCTAATAATTTAGGTAGGAAACTGTTGTTTTTTTTATTTGTTCTTGGACTAAATAAAAAAACGTTTTAATACATTAAATAGATATTGTAAAATGATAATTGTTTTCAGCTTCGTCAGTTACGTTTAATTTCAAAACTGAATTTGAAATGCTCTCGAAGCCTGTTCGCGGCATTAAATTGAAATCCATCAAACAGTAAGTTTATTAATACATTTTCCTACTTTATTTACATTATTACCATTAGTTTTGATATTATGATTCGGTATAATATGACTGTGAAATGTTCTTAAATACACAGATTGAAAAAAAAATAAAAAAATCTATAGATCCGCGTCTAATCTATATATCGATCATGCCGAAAATACCGAACATTTCGCGAGAATGTGAAAAATTGGTTACTAAAAAATTCCTGACAACATTTTTATGTTGAAACGTAAAAAAAAATAAAATTTACGTCTGATACATCACTTTCTGTTAATTTTATGTATAAAATTAATTCATGAACTTAACCTTTGTTTTGACTTAGTTATTTAATTTTTTGTTTTACAGTGCAATGTCTGATCGGTTTTTACATTTGAGGTAAGTGTAAAGATTTAATTTTGAACTAGATATAGCCCGCGACTTCGTCAACGCGAAATAATTATCAAAAAAAGTAGCTTATAATATGCCCGCATGTATCAGCTGTCTACGCGTCAAATCCTTTCAAAATCGGTTCAGCCGTTTGGTACGTTACCCAGCACATATGCGACTTTGTGGACACATAGGACACATAGAAAGACAAAAGTTTAAAGAATTTTTCGGTTATCAGCTCTGCAAATACATCATGTTTACGATATACGTTTTATTTTCGGATTTAGAATATTTTGTAACTTAACTTTCGCCATTTTTAAATAAACTTTTTTGTAACGAGGGGTGGTTTTTTGGCAACTGTTTAAACAAGATGTGATGAGGTCTTGTTGAGAGAGACAACCTCTTCCTACTGTAAATAAAATTGGGAATAATATTGTAATTTTCAAAATACAAATTACTAATTTTTCCATTAAATTTTTTCATAAGTCACAAAATGCGAATTGCTATTTTACCCGATCCCTCGTAATTTCTATGGCGCCCCCCATTTTTACCATCGCTTTATTGGGAGAGAGGCTTAACAGGGTAATTAGAGACTGTATTTTACGCAGGCCCTAACGTTAGGATTAATATTGTTAACGAGAATTTCGGCAGTGAAAACCAAAGTCTAGGAAATTCTTGTATATTATTTCTTATATCTCTGTAGATGCTACGCAAATTTATTTATTTTCTTGTCCTCTCGCAAATAAAGCGGACACAATCACTGACCAACTTTAACTTAGCTTTACATCTTGGTTATTCCTGTCCTTAATATTTCCTTATTTTAATGAGAAGTCACTAAAGAGGTTGGAATTTAAATAAAGAGTTCGAAAATTTAACCTTTTTATAAAGATTTGTTAAAGACATTGACGATGATAGCGGAACTTTCAAAATAACTTGTCAATCAAAATGTCAGAACTGAGGTGTCATGTATTAGGTTTGTTGCGCAAATTTTCAAAATTTTATTCCAGTAATTTAAATACATTCTGTGAACATTTGCTGTTGTTTTCTTCTAACTTCATACCTCACGGATCTGATGCTGCAGAACGGATAAAAATTATATGCGGAATCGTCATTGAAATGGGATCAATATTTAAGGTGTTATGCTTGTTAATTATCGATTGTTTATTATTGATTTCTATTGAATATTAATTTTATTACGTTATTCGCAGCTAATTTTATTTAGGAAATGAATTTTTATGTTGAAATTTTCATAATTTGTATATCTGCAACACTTTATTTTAAAAGTATACAACTTATGTTTGTGTTGTTTAAATTGATTTTTGGGATTAAATGCGATATAAAATTTTAAACTTAAGATAGCTACGCAATAACCCTGAAAAATTCTGACCTTTTTACTATGATTTGAAAATTCATACCAATAACTTTATTTTGTGTACTCAATATGTATTTGACATTCTCTATATATTGTACGTAACTTGATTATTTTTTTTTGTTTTTTTTTTATTCGTCTCATAGATTACATTAAATTAATAAAAATATAACATTTAAGAATTCTCACTATGTTTGAAATTTTATAAAATCATTTTGAACTTTACTTACGTTCATTTTAAAACAGAGCAACAGAAGATATCAAGTGTATGTAGAGATAATATCTTCATGAAGATTGTCCATAGTTAAAATAACAGTGTCAACATCTTTAGCACGATTTTGTCGGGCCTACCGGTGCAATACCACTACCACACAGAAGACGCGTCAGTAACTAATTCCGCGTTTCGTCTTATGAGTTTGCGTCCTGAAGGTCTAATTTTAGCCCTCTTCCCCTTCCTACCCTTTTCCTGTTAAAAAGGGATGGGAAGGAGATGTGGATTTAGCGGAGGAGGGAATATACTCTTTTTGATCGGCAGCGGGAAGCTGAGTAGCGTTCGCTTCGTTTTTTTTTGGCTGCATGCTCTTTTGCCACTATATTATAAAAAAAAATATGTCTTGCAGATTACGAAATCCACTGCCTTTGGTAAGAGATTTTTACTCGAGTATGCTTGATGCGAAAATGAGAAAAACACATGGTAAAGAAAACGATGGTAATTATTGTTCTTTATTGATTTTACTACTTTTCTTAATTATGTTTTTATCAAGAGTAAATAATCAAAACTCGGACTTGCGAACTCAAATACGCGGGTCGGTTAATAACAAATCAAGTGATTAAATTTCGTGTCCAGTATACATATTAAAGCCAAAATGAAATATAGTATCGTAAAGCGCAGCGTCGGCAGGCCTCCCGCAATGGACCGAAGATCTGGTCAAGGTTGCGGACGTATCCTAAATGCGGGTAGCATAGGATCGATCATCGTGGCGATTTGGAGGAGACCCATGCCCAGCAATGGGCGTCATAAGACTAAAGAGAGAGAGAAAGCTCTATTGTTTGGTTTCCAGATATATGTAGGTGATAAAAAATATGTTTTATTTCAGGTAAATGTAAAGCTGTAACGGTGCATCCGAAACGTAGATCGGCGTAAGTTTTATTATACATGGTTTTTTCGTGTTTATTTCATTGTAATTTAAAGATAAAATAACGCTATTCATGTTTTGTTCTCGAATGATTTTGATATAGTGCATTTGTTAATATTGTAAACTTATATAAAACGGCTAAAACACTCATGTATGTATTGTCCGGTGGCGGCACCGACTTGTTTTGAGCCCATCATGGGCCCTTCATCACTGTAAGTGGGACTTTTATTTCGCGGATGCGGCCCGTCGCTCAGCCCTATAGGCTCGAAACTCCGGTTTAGTCGTTTTTATATAAGTTTTTATTAATATTGGTTTACTTTGATAGAACTTGCCAGTGTGACGGTGTCTGCGATCAAGAAGAAGGCGACTGCCCAAATTATGAATTTAAGCAAGAACGAGTTGGTAAGTCACATTCTCAACTATGTTAGTTTAGTTTCAAATTTCAACTAGTTATTTTTCAATATTTTTTTTGGGTATTGCAGAATCGGTCAATCGACGCCCTATGCTGTAAGTATTATCCTATCATTCTTTATTTTAATTGGTTTAATCAATTGGCTTTTGCCCGCGACTTCTGTGCAGAATTTAAAAAAAAGTTTTTTAACTAGCCTATTTGTTCGTTCAATGTTCTACATCTATACCAAATTTCAATCCAGATCCATGTAGCCGTTTTTAAGATACCTTCTATCAAACATCCATATATACACCTATCTTACTTACCAAAAAGACACCTACAAACGATATTTGTCATACGCTAGTGTTGTAAGAGTTAGTCAAATAATGACTGGTTTGTTTCAAACTCAAAAACTACTTCATTGATTTCCTTCTCCTTTTGCTTCTTTGTATACATCTTTATCGGCTGTCATATCTGAATTCACCCCTTCTTACGCATATCCTCATTCACCCAATTCTTCCATACTTTGTTTGGTCTTCCTTTACCTTAGTCTTCGACATTCAATGTCATTACTTAAAGTTTGCAGACGGTAACATTGCAAATGTAAGGTACATTTGCAATGTTACCGTCTGCAACTGCAACTGTTAGCTTATGGATGATTCCTAGGGATACCTCCTGTGAGACAAGAGAGTTGCTGGTACAAAAGCCAGAGTTGTCGAAGACGTCGGCAGCAAATCAGGCCACTTTGGAAATGAATCGGAGAGAATATCCAACATCAACATGTAAGTAATAAACTTACAAGGTCAATTTCAAATGATAGTAATGTGTACTATGTGTCTAAGACTTTTTAGTTACCAAATTAAGCATTAAATAACGCTTTGTAGTCTGGTGTAGATAGGGTTGCCAGGCGTCCGGATAAATGTGGACATGGGTAGGCTTTTTGATTGCTTATCCAGCCAAAATACACGGTGTCCGGGTTGTCGGCTTTTTTACCCAAATGTCCGGCTATTAGTTCAGCCTGGCTACCCTAGTTTAAGTACCAACTGCTTTGATATTAAACATAATTTTAATTGTTATTTTTTTTGTTTTAGCTAACAACAGTCTCTCTACAGTTAACATCAGAAGTATGTCTTTGTAAGTACAATTTTTTTTTATTTATTTTTTATTTCATAAGGTGGCAAACGAGCAAGCGGCCACCTGAAATCGCTGATATAGCGAAGTGACCGTTGCCCATAGACATACGCAATTGCATATGCGCTGCCTACCTTTAATCGACGGAGGAGAGGATGCACAGAAAGTAAATATTTTCTCTTTCCATGCATCTTTTTAAATAATACATTAATATACCCATTACAAACATGATTATAATTACATGTATGTACCTGATTTTCTGTATGTTAATTATTTTTTTAATTTTATAGCCTCATCGTACAAAAATCTAGAGAACAGCCCAGCAACACAGAGCCACTGCAAAGGGTGGAAACAGTTAATAAAAGCGTTGACACTTCACACACAATAATACATCAAAAAAGAAATGAAATAAGTAAGTAAATTAATTTGATAATTTATTTTATTTTGGTGACATTTTAGGGCCTAAAGATTATGGCGTAGAATTCATAATACTAAAATTTCAATCATTTCTTTCCAGCAAACACAACACCAATGCACAACAAGACACATACAGCGTGAGTTATCATTTTGATATTAATAAAATAAGCAAATATTTCATCTGAGCTAAGCACCACTTTTGAAAGAAGTGGAAAAAGAGGAGCTGTAATAATGTGTCAAAATTATAATCACCATATGTAAATGTTTTCAAATAACTTAGCGGCTTATAAATTCGCGCGAGTCGATGCGCAGAACACAATGTTATGTGTTGGGACGTAGCGGAATGCGGGGGGAACTGCGCAGCGCTCCAATGACCTTGAGCCGCCAAGATATTTGAAACGAATTATACTTAAAGTGCCTTTTTAAAAGTCTATGTATTTGCCCACAAAATTGTTATGATGTTTCACAACGGTATTGTATTTTTCTCAAATGTTTTAGAAGTAATTTATAATATTTTGTATAACAGGGTCGGCTCCAGTCATTTTGTAGAGACGGTATATCGGCCTGTAGAAACAGGCATCCAACCAACAGAATATTTACAAGGAAGAAATGTATCCTCTACATGTCATAAGCAAATGGAACTCAGTAAGTTATATCGGATTATTTTATCTTCTCATCTTGCAATTTTCTAAACCAATTAAGATTAATTTATCATGTTTCATAATTCGACAACTTCGACAATTTATAGAAATTATAATATGTAAAAGTAGAGGAAGAATGAAATCACAATCTGATTTCCTTAAATTGAACACTTATTATCCGATTTTTAATCTTTTTAAAATCTTCCACAGATAAAACGGTATCCACATATACACCGAGAAAAACTCAAATGTAAGTTAATTGCATATTATCTCAAAATAATGATAAATTAAAATTACTTATAACATTGCATTAATTAATCTTAATTTACAGGACCAACCATCAAAAACCGTATATATACCGACCTACGAACAATGAAACTAATTGCCCAGAAGAAGCTTCGTTGCCGACCCATCCCGAACCCTTAGGTCTTGGCTCACCAAGAAATAAAGGTTTTTTTTCCATCTACTACTGCTGCCTAGTTGATACAGTTTTATAGTTCTTTTTGTATTTTCAGGTGACGATCATAATTCATCATTCCAAACGAGGCAACGAACAGTAGCTACAAGGTAAGTCTAATTTAGTTTACCTTAGTTTCTGACACGTTAGGAAAATTACATTCCTTTAAACATTTATGTATTCTTTTTTTAGTGGAACAAATAATTACCAAGACGCGGGAAGTGAGTGGGAAAGGCAGTATCAAAAGCATCGTCAAGGTAAGATTCTACGCTAAATTGTTTGTTCTGAGAATAATTGTGTAAGCAAAATATCTCAGTGATTTATCTATTACTAGCAATTGCCCTCGATTCGTGGAATAAAAACAAACTTAATTAGTTCTCGCCGAAAAATTCGAATTTTTCTCCATACCCTCCACAAACATTTCAAGACCAAGATTGCTTTACTGCTTTACGGTTATTAAAACCGTTCAGCCGTTCTCGAGCTTTAGCGAGATTAACGAACAGTAATTGATTATATATATTCATAGATTTGTTTTGTTTTTAGAAAATGAAGCACTAGAACAAGAAAGAAAACGTAGATTGCAACGAGAAGATAATAGGAATAGACTCGAAAATCGCATAACACAAGGTGTACCAAAACGAGATAGTTTATCAAAGATTAGAAAACGATCAGAGAAAAATTCTAGCACTAATAAAAGTGACAACTACGAGTCTTGTTTTCAAACTGAACGCCATTGTCCCAGTAATGATAATCCAGTTAGCAAGAATAGCCGCGATGTGTACACCAGCCCGCAAAGAATTGCAAGCCGGATCACCAGTCGCGATGGATACCCCAGCAATGATAGACAATTGAATAATTCAAATATTGAAAGAATCCTAAGTCGAAACTCAGTATACGATAGGAACCCTGACCATGAAAGATATCCTTCATCTTACGACAGATTTTCTCCAGTCTACGATAGACTACTTGGTAATGACCGATATGCTAACTTCGAGAGACGTAACTCCCGAACCATACCTCGTGAATTCCAAGAAAGCTATCTCGGTCAAGATAGGCTATTGGGTCCAGATAGTCGAGATTTTCAAAATGTATCCGGTAATGTGCCTGAAAGATTAGAACGGAAAGAATTAAGTAGACGGGAACGTAACAAAATGCGTGAAGAACCTCGAAAACCGTCGTAAGTAAGCTGCTATTTTATTAATTTGTCTTTTCATAAGCGGTTAAAAGACAGAAAATCTTCAAAAGATTACTTTTAATTTTTTCTAAACATGTTTATATCATTTTTGATTGATGTTCCTTACTTTGACAGTAAGCGTGGCTTAGATGTTGCGGAACAAGTTGACTGTGAATGTGGTAAGTATATACATTTTTTCAATATTTTTTGTCATTTTCATAACAGTTTTTTTGAAATAACAGTTGTTGTTTCACAGCGGAGGTTGCTAAAAAGGCATCAAAGGGGACTGGAAAGTAAGTACTGAATATTGATGAATTTTGAAGTATATTTTGGTATATATTAATAATCCTAAAAGATTTTCATTATTCTGCAGGGGTGATGCAAAAAAGTCTAAAAATTCAAAACCAAAAACAAAAACAGCGTAAGTTTTTAATGCAATTCGTTTAAATTAAATTGTTTAGTGATTTTACATTGTTTAGCAGTTGACGACGTGTTGTTCTTTTAAATTTTTCTTTTCATTTTATCAGAACATGTCAATGTCCGCCATCACCAATGTTGAAAACACCAAAATTAAAGAAAATGAAGTCGGACACGCGAATGTCTACGGACGAGGACGTGGGTAAGAAAATTTAGGACTTAAGCCCCGAGAAAAACTATTACTACGAATTAAACTCGATGTTCAAACTCGTTATTTCCCTATTAAACACTACGTACGACTCATTTAAATGCTCTACATAAATTAGTGGTCCTTCGAGTCAGATGTGGCCCAAGAATTTAAGAAATTAACAGCCAATAATTTAGGCTATAAATTTCAAATTATCCAACTATTTAGACAAGTAAAGTTATAACAGTGTCTTCTGTACTAGTAGGATGCCGGAGGATGCAGGAGCCTACTTCTCTTGAAGCCTTTGATTAATACGCTGCAAGTTGAATTATATTGTTTTAGATGTAATTGTGGATGAGGTGAGAACGACGTCTAGATGCAGTCTGAGAGGAGGCAGGACGTATACAAAAATGGTTCCAGCTCCAACGCCAAGTTCCTACCCCAGAATGAATCGAGCCAGATCGGCGTGAGTATTTCCAGTAAATATTATTTTTTATCTTTTATCACAATTAAGAAAAAAAACTATGTTCGCATACCATGGTACAAGAGATAGAATTATAATGTAACTAGTCATATTATGAAATGACGGCTTATTGTGAATCGAAAGTATTATTTTGCTTCCGTGAAAATGTATGTTGGAATGAATTATATAGGTAGTTGATGAGTTTTCTTTGAACATCGATGTAATTTTTAATAGGTCCTGCACGTGGAATGTGCAAAGTGAAAGTGAGATTGGTGACTCGTGGAGCCATGAGATGCGACGAAGCGTTTATACTACCACATCTAAGTAATTTTTTTTTTAATTAAAAACATTAGAAAAATAACATTTTGCATAAGAGTACTCAAAAGAATATCAACGATAAATGTTTGTTTATGGAAACGGTAATCGAATTTACTTTGGATAGAGAAGTAATCCAACCCCTTCATTGTTTATAAAGTTTTATAATATAAATAATATTCTTATAAATGTATTTCTTCATCATCATCATCATCAGCTCACTATACGTCCCCACTGAGGGGCTCGGAGCCTACCCTCAGTTAAGGGTAATTATTTCTTCATATGTATAGGTTATTCGAGCGTGAACCATCTCGCACGTACGGTGTTCCCACATCGATGGATTGCAACGGTTGTTGTAAGTTTATTTCAATTAATTCCTTCGGGGCTATTAAACAATCATGAGTTCGAAATTTAGTGATATTTTCCATTCAGTATATTAATTAATCTTAATATTTTTTCAGCCGACAACAAATCGTTGTCATCGCAATCGTCTCGTGTCTCGTGTAGTAAATCCTCGTAAGTAATCCTTATCCCTAATCTTATGCACTATTGAAATTCCTACTTTCTATTCTAAATACAATAATACAAAGATTTTTCTATAGGAATTACTACTTTCAAATGTCTTGGCGGCTCTTAAATTCGCGCGCACAGAACACAATGTTATGTGTTGGGGCGTAGCGGAATGCGGGGGGGACTGCGCAGCGCGCCAATAACCTTGAGCCGCCGAGATATTTGAAAAGAACTATATGTCCGTTAAATTCAAATTGAGACTCATTTATTACAGTTGCTGTTCCTGTCCTTCCAACAAGAGAAGTAAATGCCACATTGCGAAACAAAGCCGTGAGTATAAAAACACATTTTTTTCTTTTATTTACATAAGAAATTAAAAAAGTAAAGAAAAAGAGACAATATGTAATGTACCATTATTTTCCCTCTCCAATGATTATCTGCTCTATTTCTTTCTATTTTTGTTCTTTATTGTTTTAGAAGAGGAAAAATGCTAGCTTTCATTTGTTTAAAAATAATCTTTGTTTCAGGTAAGAAGTCACAGAAGGATAAGTGAGTGTTTGAATTTACATATTTTTGATTTAATTATAATTATAACAGAAAAAAACTTTCTCGATCATCTACTGAAGAAATAAATATAGAAAATGTATAAAGAAGACAGTAATGAAATGACTTTAGTAGGCTTATTTGTGTTAATATGGGGGAAAAAAAATTTAATACGTCCAGTCTATAAGTTTATTTATGGAATATAATACGTGGGATAATTGAATGTTTCTAATTTATGTACCTTGCGGGGGAATGGGAATCTTTGGTTTGGAAACAAAATGCTATAAATTAAATTATTTTAATTTTTTTCCATATAATTGAATATAAATAAGATTTTTGAACAAATGTATTTTCTCTCTCACTAGAGTTCTCACTAAAGTAATTTCGGACATAATAGAAACATCGGCGTTTCAATCTTCGCAGTGGGCACCAGATGAAGACGCGTAAGTATAAACAGGCAACGTTTATTTATTTAAAATAATATTATTTTGGTTTTTATTTTGTGTGAAAACGACCTAGCAACAGTTTTATAACTTTATTCTAGAATTCTTTTTGAGATATTTTACTCTAAACAGCTAAATTTTACCAACAATAACAACAATTAAATAACTCATTATTTTTATAATGTTGGCCCCGCAAGGTACTAAGTATAGGTAGAATATCAAATTATTGATTATATTAGAAATTAAATTATATTTGGCCAACTTCTGATTTCTTTTTCTTAGTATTTTGATTCAAAGAACAAACTCTAATTAAAAAATTCAAAAGAAACTCAAAAACTACTTTTATTGTTGTAGTGCCTTCGAAGGTCGAAACGTATTGATGACGAAAGACGACGAATGTTCAGACTCCGATGAATCAGACGAGTAAGTAAATTAAAGTTATCGTGGTAAATGCAAATGGATATTTTGTTTTTCAAATTTATTAAGCTTGTGGACAAGAATTTGCATCGTACACTTCTGATTGTATTTGTTTTTCCTATTTCTTTTAGCCAAGATGAAGTACGAATAATTCCTACAAGCAAAAATGATTATCGAAAGAGATGTGAAACTCCATTAAAAGTTGAATGTTATCCAAAACCACAATGTCACAAGTCTAAACAAAGTGACACACGCAGGTGAGTTAACATCGTCTTTTTTTACTTTTATGTTATTAACCGATATTAACCAAAAACTGTTGTAAATTTCTGTCCTTAAATATTGCGTTCACGAATCTTACTTTGCCAGTCATAGTAATCTTTAAGGTAACCGCCTCGCCTCGCGATCGCCGCGTTGTACGCTCGCCGTCAACAAGACTTTGCCGATTTACCGTGTGTTTCTGGGACCAAAATCTCTATTTAAAGCATTGTTATCTATGTTTTATCAAAGATAATGATAATTTTGGTCTCAGAAATCAACGTTTATGTAGTAGTTAGCAAAACCATACATGGCTCGGTTATACGGTCGGTAAAGCGAAATGTTTGCCATATTGATGTCAAATGTTTGCATTTCTTTTGCAGACCGAAGCGGAAGACGACAGTCTATCAACCAACGCAAACACCAACCGGGCCATCAACGTATGTACCAACACAAACCAGTTGTTCTAGGTGAGGGACGGAATGCGAAGCAACGTAATAATATCCGACCAATACTTATAGAGGCAATGACTTGTCCTATGTCCTCGTTGCGGGGCAGAGGGTGTCCACAGTGCGCCACCAGTTCGCTCTATCTTGGGCTGTGTGTTTGATCTCGGGCTATGTACGCCTGATTGCCTTCATGTCGACATATACCGAGCGCCGCTAAGTTTTTTTAGGACGGCCACCTCTTGTTCCTAGCGGGATCCACTCCAGGGCCTCTCTGGGAATAGAGGCAATTTGGTTCACAAATTATATATGGTCTTCTTGATATCCAGTGTCGTCATTTTAAGTAACTACTAGATAATAGCTTCGCCGCAAATTGTATTGCAATCGCAAATAATTTTAAGATAAAATATCCTTAATAATTTCCAGGAATCGCCTGATAGCACGCAGACAAAGAAATCCCTGTTCCCCGTGAGTAATCTATAGAATCTCTAGAGAGATATATTAAATTATTATATATCAAGGAATTAATTTCGTAGGTTTTAAAATCAATTTTTGTAGATCAGAGATGTTTATTTAGACAGATCTTTGAATGAAACAGATCGTTGATTGTATAGTGAGTTTATATTACTGTTTTTAGGTGTGATTTAGGTCAGCGAGGATCTTGTCTCTCTCGGCTTACTGAATATCCATCATCAGCCGACATAATAGACCCTATGTAAGTCTATGATTTTGTGTTATAAAGTCCTTCGTACACAAGGCACGAAAACGGGGAAACTAATATTGTACGATTGCGAAAAACGCGTTGCGCGCGATCCGTACACACAATGTGGAATCACTACTACTGTTCAATTGGAAAGATTTGCTTCGCCATCTTGAAAATTGTAGCGACTTTCTCACGACGATCTTGACAAATAGATTACGAGCGACTGTCTTTGGCATGACAGATAGAAATATCAGCGACGCGTGCTGTATACGAACTTTGACACTGCATTACTTAAGTCGCTTAGCGACTAAAATCGCTCGTTTCTAAAGATTTACCTTGTCTTGTGTACGAAGGGCCTAAAACTACAATTAGATGATGCATTAAGTTATTTCTTTCAATGTCCTTAATAAAGCTGAATGATATTTCTGCACCGGAAGCTTACTGATATATATTAGTAATTGTCTTCAAGATATTCGCTCAATTTTAGGTCAATTAAACGTCCATGCAGACAGTCGAGGAAGTGCCCAAGTGATGTTCAATGTGCTAAGAAATCGGCCACGGAGTAAGTACAACACAAACAACATTTATACCAAACAGACCAAGTTACTTAAGACTTAGTTTTTTTTTTAGTATTAACTATAATTTACAACCATTGCCTAGTCATTGTGCAGTCATCAAGAAGCGACAATCTGAGACATCTCCATGCAATAATGAGACATCAGATTGTACAATGTGTATGAAGAAAGCATCGCAAGGGACCCGCGAGACTGCATCAGGAGAAACGGCTATAAAGCCCCGATGTATATTATACCAAAAAGATCCGAACAAATCAAAGCACAGCCCGTGTAGCGACTGTCAATGCCGTAAGTCGGTTGCCTTTCTAGTCTATAGATAATAAAAAAAGAACATATGAAACAACACATCCTATAATAAAAGGTGTCAAAAGATAAAGCGGACAATAAATTCGCTTAAATGGTGAAGTGTTCGTGACCTAAAGACATCCGTATTTACCAAGATTTAATAGACAGAAGAGGGGACCCACCGAAAGGAGATATTTCCCCTCCTCTGCCAAGTCCACCTTTGATGTTGAGATATAATAATTTTCGTATCTATTTTACAGATAAGAAGAAAAAAAGCTACAACGTATGGTGAGTTCAATAATTAAGTTGAGTAAATACATAAAATGATATCGTTTAGATAGTCCTTTTCCTTCAAAAAGACAAGCCTATTGCCTGTAAAATATAATATTTTCGTTGTTAATAGTTAGTGCCGGTTTTAGCTCTAACAGCGCTTATTTTTATCATGTCTGGGGTCTGAACAGGATTACGTGAGAATGTGTAATTCGTACACCTGCAGCACATAGTTCCGTCCAGCGTTCCTGGGCGGCCGCCAAACCGCGCCCTAAACAAACGCCGACACGGTAGAAAGTAAATTACTATGAACGAATTGAAATAAAATATTTTATTTCTAGTCAAGTTCCCACACAAACGCTGCAACAATGGCCGACACATAGTATTGAAACTGAAGAAATCAAGGGCTATCTCAGATCATTGTGTCGCAATTGTCAATGTGGTGAGTACATTTTGAATTATATGTATAGACTAGCGGACGCCCGCGACTCTGTCCGTGTGTAATTAAAAATACATAATTAGTAGCCTATGTGATCTGCCAGACTATATTCTATATTTATGCCAAATTTCGTCAAGATCCGTTCAGTCGTTCTGAAGATACCTTCAAACAAATATCCATCCATCCATCTAATTATTCGAATTTATAATATTAGTAAGATTAGTAAGAAGTAAGATTTAAGAATTGTCAAATCCACAGATGGAAGAAAGTTTCCCCAATAATCGACTTGTACTAATCATCAGTCCATGTTGTAGGGCAGTCTTTCCCAAAGTGGGCGATAACGCCCCCTTGTAGGCGCTGCAGATCTCAAGTTGCGGGTTATAGTAAATGTTTCGTTTAGAATTCTCCGTTAATATACATATATAGGTCACAATAATTAATTAATTTAATTTGAAGTTATAGTGGTTTTTAAATATGTGAAAATATGGGGGCGCTAAAAAAATATTTATTCTCAAAGTGGGCAGTAGATAAAATAAGTTTGGGAACCACTGTTGTAGGGAGATATATCTCAAACCTCGATAAGCGAGAGGCCAAGAGACCGCGATATATTCCCCGCTATTAGAGGATTCTCTCTAAACAGAGTTTCTCGCTTATAGAAGTCGTACGTTTAAACCGGATCATGACTCTCGCTTATAGAGGTTTTTTGCTTATATACTGTCAGTTAGGCCATAGTCAACCACGCTGGCCAAGTGCGGGTTGGTTGACTTCATACATATCTTTGAATTTCTTCTCAGATATGTGCAGGTTGCATCACGATGTTTTCCTTCACCGTAAGAACGTCGGATAAATGTACATATGTAAATCGAAAAACACATTGGTACATGGCGGGATTCGAACCCAGGACCTGCAGATTGCAAGTCAAGTGTTTGACCCCTGAGCCACCGACGCTCCATATAATGTAAAGTACTTGATAATTAAATTGTTTTTTTCACAGAGAAATCCTATGGAGAATCGCAAACGCAGTAAGTTATGTTTTATTTTTTTATTCTATTCTAGGTTGCATTCAATTTTGACATATATTTAGGTTAGTTTTAACTCGCCAATGCTTACTAAATCTAAAAACCTTTTATAGAAGGAATATCTAGTACCGAAAGAAAGATAAATCTTCTTGTTTAATATATGTATCAATACTTAGAGGTTTTTATGACAACTTTGTTAGGAAGTATACGATTTGTTTTACTATTGTCTTGGCATTAGCAACCCGCAGGCGCAGACGAAGGTGTGGGTGAGTCCTAACAAGAGTAGTGATCTACGCGGTTACTTGCAGACGACGTGGCGGAACTGTCAATGCGGTGAGTAGAGTGTTAACACTTTGAATACCGAAACACATAACAAAACAGAGTTTTTTCAGTTTTTAATATGTTTGTTTATTTTCAGGGAAAATTAAAACAGTAGTTGAAACGATTAACAAAAAGTAAGTTAAATATTAAATAATATCAAACTTACTGGATTTATAATAACAATTATAATTTAACTAATCTTACTTCTAACTAATATTATAAATGTTAATGTTTAGATGGATGGATGGATGTTTGTTTGAAGGTATCTTCTGAACGGCTGAACGGATCACGATGAAATTTGGCACACATATAGAACATAGTCTATAAGAACACACAGGCTACTAATTATGTTTTTTTTTTAAATTACGAGCGGACGGTATCGTTGACGACCGCTAGTTTGTCATAATTATAAAGTTTCTAAAAGAATATAAAATTATTTATATCTTGTATATATGATATTAGTTTTTATTAATTTTACGAAAGGTTCGTATTACGCGCCTTTCTTTAACTATTAAGGTCCGTGTAGACCTAATCCGGAATCGTACGAACTACGTTCGGCAGTCGCTTCAGACAGAGACAAACATAACCGGAATACATAACCTCATTCGTACGATTCCGGAGTATCTGTAAAGGAACCTTTATGGTACTCCTCCAGTGGTACCAGAGTGAATAGCAACTGCATTACTACTGCGCCAGTCATCCAGACATTGTCGACAACTACTGTCGGCGCAGTCGGCATCGACAACAGCGCCATCTCTGTGTGCAGGAACTGCCAATGCAGTATGTGTTTTAACCCTTTTTACATCTAGCGACGTAAATTTTCTTTAATTATAAACTGTAGTAAATAAAATTAACTTTGAAATGAACTTTTATTAACATGATTACCGTAGCAGTTGTGGTTATCAGTGGTTTATCGTGTAGCCAATTTTGTTGTCTATAAACTAAATATGAAATCTTCTCAAGCAATGTTATCGTGTTACAATGGTTTAACAATTTATACTAAGGCTTACAAGCCATTGACAGTTAAATAATAATTATTTAAATGCCACTTTTTTTAAAACAAACGATGTAAAAGTCAATGTAACATTCTCATTTTCAGTAAAGAAAAAACTTGGTCAGAAAAGTAATAACACTCCGTAAGTATAATTTTGTGTTCATATCTTGTTCTTATTATACATTTTATATTACGCTGTATTTATATTATACGTAATAATTTTCTTTTTTAAAGACTGCGTATGAAGAAATCGTACGATCAAACCGAAGCACAACGACGTGCGATTAATTTAAGCGCAATGGATCTACGTCGGTATGAAGATTGTGGTGAGAAAAAAAATTAAATCACCAATAGCCAATGGTACAGTCAGCTACATAAATATGTATACACAAAACTTTAGACCTTCAAGTTAAAAAATACGTATGCACGAATTCGTCAATAACTTGTAATCATGGTCGGAATCGCACGGACGGATGCATGCTGACGAAACCGAAGTCGTATGCAAGTTTTTGTAGTTTTATAAATGTATAAATATTTATGCAGCTGACTATACATGTAGTAATATTGTGGTAGAGCGTCGGTGTAAAAGTATCTTAAAATCATTTAGTAAATTCTTAGATAACAAATTTATTTTTTACAGTTCGGAGTACAACCAGCTACGTAGCACCGACTTTGTAAGTTGCTTTTATATTTATGTTTCTAAATAAAGCTGATATTATGTTGATTGAGTTATTTATTTACAGTAAAGACCAGATTGTACCTGAATCATCTTACGACGATTTAAATGCAGAATATGACACGAGTAAGTAGAACCGAGTATCATCCTGTCCTTCCTTAAAGCAGGTCTACACAATATGTATTTCTTATAGGTCTGAAAATCATCTTATTTTGATTTACCCTATTCACACTAATCGTGGGTTTCTAACAGCATAATCTCTGAATAAAACATATCATCATCCCCGTCTTTCATCTTTGACAAAACAGAGATAACATTTTTTAAACGGGGATTTTGGGCTCGGAAGCCCACGGTTGCATTAGATAGTGATAAAATTACTTGTTATTTTTTTTTACAGAACCAGTTAAAAATAAAACAAGTATAGAAGCATCTACACTGTAAGTATACTCTTTTTTTAAGATCAACTGACGGTCTTGTTTGATTTTTGTAGTAAAAAAATCTAAAAAAAAAAGAAAAAAGCTGTCGTAATAATATTATTCGTATGATTTTACAATTTACGTATTCATTTATTTATCATATTTTTAATATAGTACATTTCATAATTTTACAATATTGTTATTATTTCAGAGTCGAACAGATCGTGAAACCTGAAATACCCGAAATACCGTCAGGTAATTTTTTACTTAATAGATTCACGGTGGGTTTCCGAAACCAAAATCATCGTTTAAAACATATTTTTTTATCTCAGTTTTGTCAGAGATAATGAAGGATGATACGTTTTATACAGAGTTTTTGGTCTCGGAAACCCACGGTTAGTCATGTGTACTTATTGAATGTCTACCAAATTGTTTTTTACGATTGTAAATACATGCAAGAATAGTGACTATGTGATATATATTTGAACTTCTTGAAGTCCGTAAATATAATATTGTTATATTTTCAGTAAATTCTCTTCCATCACTTGATGAACGGATACCGTAAGTAAAATCATGTTTTTTTTTAACAAAACTGTTCATTTATAAACTCTAAAAACTTTATAATTAACAACTTTAATCCATACTTATTTGTATAGATGTTAACACGTTGAGCGCCACGCGTGTTTCTAAGACAATCCCGTTCAGGCCACGAGCGCCGCTTATACGTACTAGTATTAAAGGGCCGGTGTTTCCGATTGCGATACAAAATAGTTTACATTTTGATCGCAAAATAGTGTAAAATTGTATAATTCTCATGTTACACGCTGTCAGTCACCAATGGTTGACGCGGCCTTAACGGAAATTCTAGTGTCAGCCACCGAAAGCTGACGCGACCTAAACGGAAAGTCTAGTGTCAGCTACCGAAGGCTGACGCGGCTTAAACGGAAAGTCTAGTGTCAGCCACCGATGGCTGACGTGGCGCTGAAGGTGTTAAAAAAATATCAAAAAATATTATTAATTTTATGATATTTTATTGTATTGAATACAGGAATCACCTTATCGCTGAATTACAAGAAACAAAGAAAGAACGGAATGTTAAAACCACTGGATGCACCACTGGAATGGAGTTTCAAAGTAAGAATGCGATAACCTTAGGCTGTTAGATATTTGAAAACAACTATACATTATTATAATAACTTGAAATGCGTTAATCTTTTACAGAGATCGACAAATATGTATCAGCAGTAACGAAAATGAGATCTTCGTGAGTAAATTAAATTAATATGACAAATATATTTTAGAAGCTGTCGACCCCGTTCGCAGGAAATTAAAAATCCTTAATTAGTGGTCTATGTGTCCTTCCGGACTATGTTCTACATCTATGCCAAATTTTAGCGACATCCATGCAGCTATTCTGGAGATACCTTCAAAGAAACATGCATTCAAACATTCGTATTTATGGTATTAGTAAAATTGTTTAAACTTTCGTGAGACATTATTATAAAATAATTACAAACGGCTACACTTTTCTAAACTTGTTGGTCTTAACACTAAACTTAATCTACTTGAGTGTGGCCATTATTAATAGGTTTTAAATTATATCTCACTACTAACTGTCGCCCGCAACTCCGTCCGCGCGGAATTAAAAAAACTATTGACCGCTGCGTTATGTTATATAGCCTAAAGCCTTCCTGTATAAATTGACTATCCGACAAATAAATTTTCAAATCGGACCAGTAGTTCTTGAGATTAGCGCGTTTAAACAAACTCTTCCGCTTTATAATATTAGTATAGATAAAAAATTAAAGGTGTAACGTATAAATACAAATAGGTTTTAACCATTTTTACCAAAGATTATTCCATAGTTAAAATATGAATTGTTTCCACCAGATACAACGAATCTAGACATGCGATATTCGTGTCAGATGTGGACACGTGTTGTTCAATAGATGAACTGAAGAGGAACTATTCACGCGGCTGCAACAAGAAGAGTTCATGCCACGGTCCTTGTAAGCCATCGAAAAAAAAAGGAAAGAAATGCGTCGATCGTTCACAGATTTTTCCAGAGAAACTGTCGTGTGGTGGGTTTTTTGGGGAATAATTTTATTAAGTAATAAATAGCTGGTTTTGCTTTTAAAAACCTAATTACTCTACCGGTTTTTTTTAAACGAGTTTGTAAGTTCTTTTGTGATGACCTTGAACCATTGAGGTGACTGACTCAACTATCAACGCGCAATCAAAACTTCTGGGCTTCTGAGCCCAATGTAAATTTCAAGTCTCTAGACTTGAAATTTACATAGAAGTTACTGTTAGCTAGTAAGCGTCCGTCCACTAAGAAAAGATTTTTCGAAATGCATCCCCTTAAGGTCCTAAATGGGGACCAAAAATATGTATGGAGCAATGTTATCCCTTGGGATGAATTTAAAAAAAATTGAGATAAATGCTTGTCAGCACGAATATTTTTTAAAAAGAACAAACAAGTTATAAAGTGTTAAGGTATTTTCAGGAGTGGAATCGAGACGTGAAGAGACTAGTACTAAAAGATTTCCTAGTGACTCGTAAGTATTTTAACCTCAAACGTTCAATCAACATTTATACAAAAAAGGCCTAATTAGTAAAAAAAAATTAATACTGGCTGTACTAGATTTGTAAAAGTTTTTATTTATTTATCAGCCTTTTATCTTTCATATTCTTGGTGTTTTTGTTGTAATTTAAATACTTTAGACGCACTCGCGAACAAGTATATCAGCCTCGGGGCTGTGTGCCCTACAAGCCACCGCCGGGGACGACGAAGGAGACATGCGAACGCGGCAGCTGCTTCCCATCTCCATGCGACAGTGAGAAGAAATGCTGCGCAGACACCAAGCCTGAAAAGTTGCCGAGACGTAAAGGTTATTAGAATTCAGCCCTCTAGCAAACTCAAGAGAAATTCGGGTGGACTGTTAGGCAGGTTATTACGGGAAACAGAATTTATTTGACTTAGAAATATTTTGTTTCAGATTCGGATAGACGCGTGACTGTAAATTCTAAAGTGAAAACGATGTAAGTCAGTCTAATAGAAGTTTCTCTTTTAAAACTACTTGTGTACTCTTCCAATAAATGTATTTTTACAGAGAGCCTCCCAGCCCTTGTCCTACTGAACCTATCATAAAGAAATGTGAGGAAGAAACAACTCAAAGTAAGTTTCTCGATTATTATGCATCAGTTAAAACTTTAGTAACATCTTTGGTGTTGGTGTTTTTATTCCATTCGTGGTCTTTTCTTTTTCTAATTAAACCTCTTTGTTTACAGAAACCAGAGTTATAGAAGTAAAACCTAAAGAATCAATAAAGTCTATTTCACAGTAAGTAATCGTTTTGTGACACATTTTTTGCAATTTTTTATATAAAATATTAGCAGATTTTTGGTGAATTAACCAATTTCTTGTACCATTCCAACTAAGCTCTACGCTAGTGCTAGGATATGGTTTACAACAGTCGTATGACGGGATTCGAACCTCCGACTTCAGGATCGGAAATCTGTACCCTTAACTATGAGGCTATTGACGTTTGAAAAGTTCTCAACTGAATACCAAAATTAACAAAGTTTTGATTTTAACAGAGAATGTGGATGTACTGGGGCACCTCCCACGGCACAAAGGTCGGTGTCAAGGGAAAAACATAAAAAGAAAGTAGATAAATCATCATCAGCACACAGAGTGAAGAAACCGCATACAGACGATTGTAAACCAAAAACTAAACCTATCCCAACACTAAAACCTAAACCATCTTGTGATAAACCATCGAAGCACAATATTAAAAATCTATCAGATACGAAGAAAATATCAACAGACAGAAGGAGAAGAAGGGACGAAGTTAGAGCTAAAATTAATACGTCTTTAAGTGACACCCAAACTTCTCGGGCAAGGCTCCGATCTTCGTCCAACGATAGTCGTATGCGACCACCATCAAGACAAACATCGAAAACAAGAAATAAATCCGCACCGTGTAACTATCGAAAACCAGAAAATGAAAGTAATATAAAAAGTAACACGAAAACTGTACCCTCTAAGGAAACTACACCAACTAATAAACCTTCAGAAGACAAAATGCCTAATAAAGCAAAGTCTGATCCATGTGAACCGAAAGTATGCACTGATGCCAGGAAGATTTCAGCAACAACTCGTGGTAAGATTAATTAGTCGTAGTAAGGGCAAAATTGTCTGGCCTGACTGATTAAATTAAGGTCCACATACATAAGCTATCTTCATGAAAACGAACCGTCAAAATTGGTCCAGCAGTTTCTGAGAATACCTGGAATTAACTAGGATTTGTGGACAGTCAGACTAACTAGATTAAATACACTGACCTCTATAAATGGACTGGGTATAAGACGTGGTGTTTTGTGCCATTCCGATGCCACGCTCTCGCCATTTTGACTCTGATGGTAGCAAAGATGTGAATTGATGTCGAATGAAACAAAAGCTGTAATTTCAAGACAATCGCCTATCCATTTGTAGAGGTCAGAGTAGCTAGCTTAGCTTTTAAACTTCTATCACCTCTGATTTTATTTCGTGTATAGATGTTGCTGTGGATATAAGATGTCCGATCTGTACGTGCGCCACACAATGCCACGGCACGCGGTGTTATCGCAGCACTGATATTATAAATCCAAACTTGAAAGGTAAGTTGTATATGTTGCTGGAACGACACTACGACAATATGCTTTCTATTTTAAGTAATTTTAATTGCGATTAAGTTATTTTTACAATCAATGACGAGACTTACAATTATAAACCAAATTATGTAGAAGACAATAAGTAAGGCTTCTAAGAAGTTTTGATATGACCTTTTTTATATTATAATTTTAACATATCACGTGTTTAAAATTCATAAGAAAATAAAAGCAACAATGTTTGTTTGCATTAAAAATTCAGTAGAAAAAGAAGAAGTGGAAAGCCCAGACAACTCTTTGGATGACGATGCACTATTTAGCGATTATACGAGCGAAGAAATAACAGACACGACATTACAATCGCGCACCGTATGCAGCAGAGTCGCTATAGAATATTGCGACAAAGTAACAAAAATTAAGCATCCTTGCAAAACTTGTTGTAAATCGATTGAAAAAATACGACGCATAAAAAAAGTTAATAAAGCGACATGTACCAAATCAAGAAGATTAAAGGACGTGGGCACAATAACGAAAGCTTGCAAAAGTGATCGAATACAGAGGAGGAGAATTTGCAAGAGAGATAGAGGTATTTGCACTGAAGGGAAATTGGTCACGTTTAAGAGTTGCACGCAAATTATTCCACCTTGTAAGTGAACTTGCAATAAAATAATCACATACAAATGACAACGGACTTATTCCAATTTAAACAATGACAGATATAATACGACAAAAGCGAAACAACATTAGTATCTTATACTATACTCTTTTATTTTATTTATTCTTAGTTTATTTTACAGAAAAAACATACTAATAACTTAATCATTAAATACATTTTGACGTTACTTTTTTAAATAATTAAAAATAAATATTTCATTTCAATTTATTCCTCCCAAGTATATGGCGTGTATGACAAGCAGTCGGCCAGCCGTTAAAAAATAAACTAAAACATCGACGACTGTATATAATTTTACAACGTGTAACTCGATATGATACAAATATATTGCAAAATAACACGAATTAATGGGAAGATGAATTTAAAAAAGTCTAGAAGAAAAAGAAGATATTTGATGCTAAAGCGAAAAGAAGATATTCGAAAACAAAGAAAAAAATTTAATGGGCAAAGATAGAACAACTCCTCGATCATCTTATCAAGAATTAATTTCTAGTGTATTTATAGCGTTAAAGTTTAACAAATAATTAGCTTTAATAACTATAGGTCTTCTATATAAAGGGTACGTAGCAAACGTTAAAAGTAAAAAAGCAATGATCTTACGGTGGTAGAAACTTTGCAGCTTTGTGACCTTTTCCATTTTGTTCAATGAATTCGAATTAAGGTTTATTTTCTTTTTTAACTCAACAAGAAATAATAGTGGTCCAAACTTACCTCCTTGGAGGACGCCATATGTAATTGAGAATAGTTCACTGAATTAGGATTTAGTAACATGAATATTTAATTATAATTATCCTTACACATATTTAGGAAAACAATCTTTATTGTCATAGTTATTAATTATCTGGATAAGGGACAATTAATACAAGCAACTGTGTAAAACGCAATCGAAAAATCATCGAAGCAGGTTCATGAAACTTGGGACTAAAACAAGGCTGTTATAAACCAAATGCTACCAAAAAATGGTATTATTGAAAGAAAAAATATTCTGAATTAAGGCAGAAATGTGCAAATGAAACTATTAGTGCATGTTATAAAATGGAAGAACACTGGACTACTGGAAACAATGTCATGTTATAAAAATGTATACAACACAATATTAAAGATATTTTCCTAGTAATTAAAGTTCAATGGTTATGTCAGTACTGCACTGTCGGTTAATGTTTGAAATTAGAAAAGAACACATGTTTATACAAGAAATAAAACAAAATGTTGTTTCGCTTTTCGTCGTATAATATCTGTCACTTTAGGGTTCCGTATAGTTATTCACGTGTAATTTGTCCGACTGTCTGTCGTAAAGTTAACTATTAAATACCTTAATTCTCTAATCACTACAGGCAGTTCTGACATGACTACGGAACCCTGCGTTTAAAATATTTAATTCACAATTTAAAACAGTAATTTTCTCTATAAGACCTTAATGCATGTAGCCTTTTTCTAAGTATATTTATACCATTGAAGGTAAATTGGATCAATATTTTTCAGGTTGTCATGACATTTTGTCACCTTCGAGATATCTACTAGAGGTAAGTTCCGATTTTACTAATACAAAAGAGATTTTTATATCAGTACTAGCTGTCGACCGCGACTCCGTCCGCGCGGGTTTAAAAATAAATGTTGGCCGATTCTCAGACCTACTCAATATGCTCACAAAATTTTATGAGAATCGGTCAAGCCATTTCGGAGGAGTGTGGGAACGAAAATTGTGTCACGAGAATTTTATATATAAGACTAGCTGTCGCCCGCGACTCCCTCCGCGCGGTATTAAAAATAGACGATGGCCGATTCTCAGACCTACTGAACTACGTTCCATATTTGATCATTTTTAAATGTCATTTTCAGTCTCAAAGACACTACAATGAAATGTTCTCTTCAAAGTACCTCCACACGAATATGTGCCCTGCATTTGTGGTGAGTTGTTTTTTTATATTTTAAATATGGTCTCAAATAATTGACACCTAAACTTTTTCCTACTTGAACTCTTGTCAAATTTGTCTTTTTGTTGCAGTCTCAAAAACAAGGTTTTTGTGCTTCAAAGGTCAAACGAAATTCATTGAGAGGTGCGTCTTAGAATAACTTTGATTTAACTATTTACTATAGTTTGTTTATTTTACTATACTTATATATTATATACGTTCTTTGCAACTACGATTTTTACACAGAGCCGGCGTTAGGGTAGGGTGTGATTAGCCGGACCGCTCAGGGCGATGGACAAAAAGGGGCGCCACTGATCTGCGAATTAAACTCACATAATCTACCAGGGTTATGTGAGCATGTGTAATTCGGAGGCATTACCTGCTATTTAAATTCAATTTATTGTTGTTATTAAAACTGTATTTCCTTAAAATATTTTGAACTAGCTGTTGCCCACGACTCCGTCTGCGCCGAATTAAAAAAACATAATTAGTAGTCTATGTGTTCTTGCAAACTATGTTCTATATGTATGCCAAATTTCATCGAGATCCATCCAGCCGTTTTGGAGATACCTTCAAACATCCATCCATTTATCTAAGCATATGCATTTAGTAAGACTTAGTAAGATTAATGTGGCATAAAATAATTGCAGGCTACAAGGCGAAGAAGCCGGAACATCATTCGTTGCGGCGGCAGGTATTGTTGAATCGATATTTTCGTTGTTTCCTTTCGCAGTGCAGTCCATTGCATAACTAATATTTTGTATTAATCCACCTTTATCTATCACTAGCCGTCGCCCGCGACTCCGCCCGCGCGGAATTAAAAAACAACTTAAGAAACCTATGTGTCCATCCAGACTATATTTTATATGTATGCCAAATTTCATAGAGATCCGTTCGGCCGTTCCGGAGATACCTTTAAACAAACATCCATCCATCCGTCCAAATATTCGCATTTATAATATGAGTAATAGTATATATTATAGTCAGATAGTAAGATTAACTCATTATAACTATAATCAGTAATTCTTCTAAAAACTATAAGTGAATTCTTTATTATTTCAAAGACAAGTCCAAGAGCGAGCGAAGACCGCACTAGATCTGACGACAGCACAAGACCTGCCATTAGGCTTTTGAAAGGAATGAGACGATATAGACTAAGGTAAAGCTAATTTATTGTGGCTTTCTGAGACATAATCTCCGTTTAGTCAAACATGAAAGACAGGGATGACGAAATTTTTTATGCAGACATTTTGGTCCCAGAAACCAACGGCTAGGTATGCTATTTTGGAGTAATTAGTTTCCGGTTTTTAGTTCCATAAACGAAGCTACATGTGGAGACATTTATTAAGTATGCTGTTGAATATATTTCTATCTGATCGAGAAATTGAGTAGTAAAAGATTAGCGTGGTTTGGACATGTTATGCGGAAGAATGGTGATATAAGCAAAAAAGTAATGAGATTGAATGTGGATGGCTACAAAGGTAGAGGAAGACCAACAAAAGTATGGAATGATTGTGTGAATGAGGATATGCGTAGGAAGGGGGGATATGACGGCTGATAGAGATGTTTGGAGGAGTAGTACATACCGTGCCGACCCTCAATAGGAATAAGGGCAGGTTGATGATGTAGAGCAAAGGAGAAAAAGAAAATGGAGGCATTTTCTATGACGCTGTAATGCTTATTCTTAGACCAAAGCGATATAAGAATGTTTTTTTGTTCCATTGACCTAATTTAAATGTTATTTACTAAATCAAAGTTACATTGCATTTGCCATAAAATTGTGTCATTTGTTCTTTTTTCGCTGCGCTTTATAACTTTGTATGAATCAAAAACAATGTTGTTTTAATGTTCGATGTAATCGTGTGGCGAAGCCGCACGGTACATTGGCACGATACGTCGCGTGACCGACATATAGGCAGACAAATTTATTTGACCCGGTGGCTATAACGAACTAAATTACAAAATAGCTCGTTAGCTTATCCAACAATGTCTTTTCGTATCTTGGTCTATATCTCATTGGGCATGTTGGTTTAATTTTTTTCTAAAATAACACACCAAAAACACGTCCCACCGGGCCAGATGTGTATGTAGCACTATATCATACGATATAAATGTACGCTAATGTAAACAATTGTTTTCGCAGAAACGAAGCTAAATTAAACGCTGTGCGGGAACAAAAATGGCAAAGGCATGTTTATGAAAGTCCCACAAACAAAAGTTTAACGGTTTGTTTAATTTTTTAATAAGTTTTTCAATCGGATAGTTGGTCAAAATATTGAGATTAAGAAATAATAAATTATGACCTAAGTTTTTCATAGCCTATACTTACAGAAACCTTTTTATTTCAGAAATCACAACAAAATTTATGTCTACAATACGGTGCTGCCGAAGACAGTAAGTCTATTGTTAATTTTTTGTTCAAATTCCGTTTAAGAATATTTCTCACGCCCAAGCATCACCGCCAACCTTCTTCAGCACCTAAAGATATGGACATTTTGTAGTGAATTTATCCTGCAATGAAATTTAATATTTTCTCTTTGTTTCAGAAAGTAGCAGTTTAGCAGGGCACTGCAATTCTGCGAGTAGTTTTTGATGAATGATTGTTTTTAGTGCTGTTAATTTTGGTGTCTTTACTGGGCGTTGCAAATAAACATGTATTGTTTTGTTTTACTTTGTGTTATCTTTTATCTACCATTAAAGGCTGCCTCTCGAGTGGTATTTCATGACTTAACAGACTACAAATATAGCGACGAAAGATATAAACCATTGGAAATTAAGTTTTACGAATTGGAAGACAATGACATATCATTTTAAAAGGGATAATGAGAATAAAAAGATGAAAATACAACTAGGGACAGATCCACTTGATATTGTAGTTAGGAAACAGAAATTATCAACCTGTGTTAGTTGACTGCTGGACATAGGCCTTGGCCACTGCCATCCCGTGCTATACTCCTCTTTCCACATCCTGCGCCTGCAGTCCTCACTAGGTGTGCGGTCCACATGGAAGCTCTAGGCTAGTAATCCCATCCGTAGGCTTCCTTTAAAATATTCTGATATTTTCAGTATTCTCCCATCTGGTGTTGGTGGATTGACAGATTAAAATAACCGATATTTCTTAAAATGCTTTTTAGTCTGTCCTTATAACAGCAAATAGCAAGGCACATCCCTAGCGTCAAAGTTGTTTTGTTTATGTGTCACTCTGATGTCATTTGCCATTCTACGGATCTGTACATGAACATTTTGCGAAATTATTTAACGCAAAATGTGTGATATAAACGATAATCCAATTAAATTAAGTGTTAAATGGAATGGCAAGGAATTCGATATACCGGAGCTATCGCCATCGGATTCCGTAGCAATGCTGAAGATTGCCATCGAAAATGCCACGGGTGTTCGACCGGAAAGACAAAAACTTCTCAATGTAAAATTTGAAGGTAAATTCTTATTTTATATTAATATATAACACATTCTAGCTATATCTCGCCTATTTTAAAAATTATAAAATTTAATATTATGTTTATTTAATATGAAAAAATACTAAGCCAATAAACTGACTTTCGCAAACATAAAATGTTTCAAAGTTATACCTTTATGCCCAAATTATGTAAAATGCACTAACTAATTAAAAAAACTCAATACTAATAAAGCATTTCAACAAAACCAGTTTCTAAATCATAAAGACGTGTGAATGAGGTTACAGTAAGTCATTTGTTTAATTTCAAATTATTATATTACATACATCTTATGAATCACATTACAGTTTTTTAAAAATACTAAATATTTAAAAATGAAAATTATGTATTACTCTAGAGATTTTCATATTCTTACAATCATTGCCAAATTTTTTTTAGGTAAAGTGGCAAAAGATAATTGCACCTTAGCAGACTTAAATCTAAAGCCAAACTTGAAGATTATGATGATGGGTTCTCTGGAACAAGCTATAGAAGGTGCTCGGACAAAGCCTGATGTTGGAGATGATGTTGTCAATGACTTGGATATTGAAGAGGAAGAAGTTGATGTTGAGAACCAAGAGGTTTGTTACAATATTTTCCTATTTAAAAAATATAACAAAAAAAGTAAAATTATCTTATTAATTTGTTAAGTAGAGAGAATTGATTAAGATTTCAATAAATTTATGCAAGTCATACTGTGGGTTTTTTCTATTGAACAAATTTTTCTTTAACTAGTTGTTAGAGATAGAATCCTGCAGTCAAGAATGATATATGATTTTCAAAACAATACCTAAACCTACCTAAAAGCAAATCTTGCCTTTAAGAAAATCAGAGCAATTTTTCCACAATAAACTCCTGCTAATCAAATCTTTTTTGGAACAAAATTCCTGAATTTATTGCAAAATATTAATGTTAGTCATCTTTGCAACTTTGTCTATGCAGAGTAAAAATTAAAGTAATAATAACTATTTTCAAAATCGGTCAGTATTTTTTGTTTTTATTTAAATCTTTTTTCTTATAATATTAGTAGAGATAAACATAACATTTTGTAAACTATTTCAGATATATTTAGCTAAAATAAACAAGAGAGTTCGAGATTATAAAATAAATTTATTGAATGAACCAAGAGAGGGGAAGAAATTATTAGTTCTTGATATTGACTACACATTGTTTGACCATAGATCTGTTGCTGAGACTGGTATGTATTTGATGTTACTACAAAAACACCCAACATAACAATTTACCTTTAAAAAATTGAGGAGTTTTGTTAAAGAGAACAAGGTTTTTGTAGTTATAATATGGGAGTTGAATTTATTTTTTTAAATTTTTATAACACAATCATTAATTTTTATTTCTTCTTCACTTTCTGTCATAAAATTACTTACGTAGTTTCCACTGACATAACAATCTTACTTATTAAATAAAGTTTCAATATATGTATTCATCATCATCAGCACACTACACATCTGTGCTGAGGGGCTCGTAGCACTCCTTAAGTTAAGGGTGACTAGGTCATAGTCAACTATGCTAGCTAAGTGAGCCTTGACTTTCTTCTCAGATATGTGCAGATTGCATCACTATGTTTTCCTTCACGTTAAGATCATTTGAAAAATGTACATATGTAAATCAGAAATCAAAAAACACATTGGGACTAGGCGGGATTTGCACCCAAAACATGTGGACTGCAAGTCAAGTGCTTAACCTCTCAGCCACCAACGCTCTTTATACTTAAGAAGAGAAATTCTTAATAATTATTTAATATTTGTTCATTCGTAGGCTATGAACTTATGCGACCTTTCTTACATGAATTCCTAACATCGGCTTACGAAGACTATGACATAGTGATATGGTCGGCAACTGGAATGAAGTGGATAGAGGAGAAGATGAGACTGCTCGGAGTATCCACGCATCAGGATTACAAGATTATGTTCTATTTGGATTATTTAGCTATGATTACAGTTCATACAACTAAATATGGTACTATTGATGTAAGTTTTTTTAATTTGTATTTGTACTCTATGGTTTTAGGTGTTGCTAGTTAAATAAATAATAGATTAAATGCCATCTGCCAATATTAATATTATGACAAAATGATATTAAATTTACTGCCACAAAATAAAGATCTAATTTCAAACTGCTTTGTTATTATTGAATCAGATTTATTAATATTATATTTGTTTTGAAATTTATAAGTTTCAAGTTTAAGTCTCTAGCTAATTCGGCAATTAGCCAATAACCTAATTTTTTTTTAATTATTATAATTTCAGGTGAAACCATTAGGAGTAATTTGGGGTAAATATCCACAATATAGTCCAAAGAATACAATAATGTTTGATGACATTCGAAGAAACTTCATCATGAATCCAAAGAGCGGTCTCAAAATCAGACCGTTCAGACAAGCCCATCTAAACAGAGATAGAGATAGGGAATTACTCCATTTATCCACATATCTGAGAGAGATAGCACAATACTGTGATGACTTTGATCAGTTAAACCATAAGAAATGGGAGAAATATAAGCCTGATAGGAATAGGACGCAACATGCGGGTAGTAAGAGAAAAGCCGAAGATAGTGCTCCAAGTACACCGAAAGAATGACGATAGTTCCATAAAACTATCGCCCTCCTATGGTAGGTGGCGCCATCTCGAATCGCCTTATCGCTTAGAAGACTGCAATATTTTTACAAGAATAGTTAATGAGAGCTAAACGCATTAATGTTTGATCGTTAAAAAAATATATTTAGTCAGCCGCTAGTTCAATTTTATAGTCACAAAGTTTATTGAAGTTATTTTATAACAGGGTATTTGTCGTAAATACAACTTTCTTATGGTGAAAGAAAAATCTTGATGCAAAGTTCACATATTGGTGAAGAAATTCATAGATATGTGTGAAGTCAGTCCGCACAGAGCCAATGTAGTTGACTGTGGCATAGACTATACTTATGGTAGGCTCTGAGACCCTCAGTTGCGACATTTATGAACTGACGATCTTTTTTTAATAAATACACATGAAATAGTCATTTTTACCAAACTTTATGCAATAATAATACAAAAATTAGTTTCATCTTATTAATTCCCTAGGATAGTTCTTTCTTAATGTTTCTTTCTCTAAAATAATAAATTCTAATCAACAATGGGAATTAATAAATGACATGCAATCATTTTTAAATACCCTGTTATCAAATAGACAACAATTTAAATATTAAAAAAATATCTTTGATATAAAAACTTGCTTCAAATACTAAATTCAAATTATAACGTCTTTTCAAACTTAAATATTTTTAATAGTTTAATTAATTAGTAATAAGTTTTCACCAAGTAATATAGTCAATACATAGATGCACTTTTTTAATATTTAGTAATACATTGAAATATGACTTAATTTTGCATTATTACCGATACCTTACAGATTTCTTTGAGTCATTAAAATATATTTTCTATAAAAAAACTTTTGATTTTAAACTTTTGCAATAAAAAAAACAAGAAACGCATAGAAATTGAAATAAAAGAAAATCTTATAACATTATTGACGTTGACAGGTGGGCGCTAGTGAGCTGTCATAATTTAGTTTGACTTATGCCCACCGGCTCAGATAAACTCGTCGGTCTATATTTATAAATACTCCATTATAGTAATTAAATCAATCGAAAGTATTTAACAAATGTTTTTAAAATATCATGACAATAATAATGAATATTTTTTTAAAGAACTGCCTTTTCGTTAGACTTTTCATTTTAACTCTGCAGTCTTTTCACAATCTTCGCTCTAACATTTTCAACTTCCAATTAATTAGGCTGAAGAACAAACTTTAAAAAAAATATAAGTAAGGGAATAGGTAAGCATTTAATGCATTGTATTTATTTTTTTAAACTGGTAACATTGTGTCACTTAAAGAAATGCTCTTTGTATATTTAGGAATAATTTTACAGCGATTAAATTAGAATAGAGATATTTATAAATAAATACAATATTTAGAACCAAAACATTTGATTTTTATTTATTTTTATAGCAAATATGTATTATAATTTATTATTCTTTGTATGATCGTATTTCATAAGACCAGAAATATGAGAAAGATATTTCTTACAAAACTTACTATTAACAAAATGACAATGCGTTTAATAATTTCCTGTTTGAATTAAAATTAGCAAAACATATTTTGAAAGTAATTAGGATCCAAATGTAGCACAACATTCACCACAACATTCGAGACAATTTTGACAAACTTCGCAAGTACCATTAAGGCATTCTAAACAACAGTTGTCGTAAAAACAAGCCACAAAACACGTTATAATAACATCCCAAAATTCAGCACATAATGTGCATATATCTAATGTACACAAACAGCATTCATTCGCGTTATTTTCACTTTGCATATTTTGGTCACCATCTTGTTTATTTTCCCGCGCTTTGATAGGTTGACAGGTTATAACTTCGGTTTGAATTTTTCCCGGTTCTGTATCAACTGCACTGGTTAAAGGCACTCGAACACTTTCGTCGACAGAATCGTTTGATGTCATTTTTCGAAACAATTAATTAAATTTTATCTCATTTGAATATTTGTGTAATTATACCGCAGTATACCGTAGCCATATACGTTAGCAAACTCAATGGAGTGGCTTTAAAATCGGTAAACCAACCAAACGTTTGTAGAACGAGTTTAGTGTTACAAAATATCTTATTTTTAGCGCGATGACGTTTCCCGCCCATAGGATTATTGTTTTAATAACATCATGTGATGAATCTACTTTTATTACATGATTGCGCGTAATTTTTTCTTATTATTGAGTCTCTTTTTAACTTTTTATGTTATTTTCTTATCAAAAATTAAACAGTTACTTTTTGTGCACTATTCTACAATGTTATGAAATACAATGTAAGAAAAGTGAAGAAAATATAATTAATCCTGGCAATTAAAGAAATAACTTTAACTGTCTAGTTCTACGTAGCGATCAGCTGCGAACAACACTTGTATTGATTCGAGTGTTTAATTTCCACTGGGGCGACTACGAGTGCTATTGCCCGACTAGTCACTATGTGGAAATAGGCAGTAACAATCACCTTTAATTGATAATGACATTGACACTTCACTGACAGGCAGCAACAGCGAGGGAGTCCAGCGTTTATTTTATTTTTATTTGTGTGTGTATTTATGTGAGTTGGAGTTAGATTCGAGGCCGGAGATAACAAAATGACGCACAAACTGATTAATGCATGCACGAAATGCATTTAAAAATGATTAAGAAAGCATTATTCATTCAAATTTTGTGTTTATCAGTATCGTGTGACGAGTGTGCGAAAGTTTTGCTTTTACGAGAAAGTTAGTTGAAAGTTTGCGATAACGAAGTTTTTGTTAAAAAAAAGTTGTAAATTAAAACAAAAACAACTGAATCGAATTCAATTTAAAAATGACAGACGTTATCACTTCTCAACCAACATTTAACAACACAGTTACTACATTATCCGACGATCCTCCTCGTTACGAAGATGTGATTTCAACACAACCCCATCGTGATGAAAATAATCAAAACATTGACTCAAATGAACAAATCGAAGCCACTAATATAGTTAATAATGAAATTAAAACAGATAATATAAATCCTGAACAAGAGAACGAAGAAGAAAGAAGACGAAACCAGAGACGCGCAGATGATTGTTGCTGTATTTATGTTAGTGATGATTATGATTTCTTCCTTTGCCATATTATTGCAAATTGTTGTATAAATATTGGTAATTGTACTGAATCTTGTTGTGAAAGTTGTGGTGACTGTATACATGATTGTTGTGAATCAAATGATAGCGGTGAGAATGTTGATAGTGGTCAGAATTATGATAGTTGCTGTGTGGGGTGCTGTGATGGTGATAGTAGTGGAAATGATGATTGCTCATGTGATTGCAACTGTTTTGATTGAAACTCAATGTAAAATATTGACTACTAATAAGTTCGATCTCTTAAGATGAGAGAGACAATATATGTTGTATTTTTTTAATGTTTACATATATAAAGGATATTTATACATGTGTAAATTAAGAATATATGATTTTTATTAAGTTAATTTTAATATAATCTGATATTTACATATATCTCACTCAACAAATATGTGAGATTGTGCCAAAATTTAGAAGAATACTCATTATGAAGATTTTTTATTTTATAAGAGAAGGGGGCAAACAAGTGACAGGAACACAGTTATGTTAATTAATGTATCTTTTTGCTGTAATTTTTTTTTACTATGCTTGTCTTTGTGTCTCCACCAATGAAACATTGTTATCTATTGCATTCCTTTAAACAAAGTGGTTGCATAACAAATTTTATAACAGTGAAATCTCATGGTTGTAAAGACTTATAGCTAAATGAAAACCAGTCCATAAATCCACTCATTAGTCAATACTAAGAACATGAAATAAAATAATGATGTTAAGAATAACCACAAAGTTTTCCTTATATTTACATAAGCGACCATATTGTTAAAATTTTGTATTGCTTGATGTTAAATACAAAAAATTGTACAAAATCATAAATCAAATTACATACAAAATAACTGAAAAATTTTTATAAAACATTTATATATTATTCAAATAATTTTACAATTATTAAAAAAGGATACTGTGTTTTTATTTTTTTTTATAATATTTAATTATTTTGCTTCATTTTGATTTTACATTGTGCCAATTTTACAAGACTGTCCTGGAATTTTATAGTTAGTAGTAATTGATGAACAATTTATAAATAATATATATTTATAAATAGTCAAACCTGGCTAAGCTAGAGTCTAAGGTTTGACTGTTTTTACTATTTAAATATCACTAGCTGTATCCCGCGTCTCCGTCCGTGTGGATCTATAAAAAAACTTAATTAGGTGTAGCCCTCCCATCCATCCATCCACATCACATCCATCTAAACATTCGCATTTATAATATTAGTAAGTTAAATAAAAAGCAGCTCTTCAAGGCATAAATTTGAAAAAATAAATCATAAAATGAATAAATAGTATCCTATGTCCATCTCCTGGCTCTAAGCTACCTCCTCACCAATTTTCAGCCATTTCAGTAAAGTCGTTCTTGAGTTATAAATAGTGTAACTAACATGACTTTATTTTATATATATATATATATAGTTTACACCATACTCTTAAGTGTCTTTTATTAGCGTTTATTGAAATAATAGTAGTTTTATACGTCTGTGGTGACTTTTATGGATGGAAAATTCCCAAATAGATATAAGATTTAATATTCTTGCTCTATAAAATGATTCACTTAACATTATGGTCATTGCAATGATTATTAAACAGTATTCTATCAACTTTTATACTTACGACTAGTGTTGTATTTATATAAACGATTCGATACTATTAGATTAGTGCTTGTCGAGAGGGCTCTGTATTCGTACGAAAAAAAATTGCACTGGATTTTTTTTTTTGTAAATCCCTCTTTGACATGTAATTTAAATTTTACCAATAAATATTGTTTGGTACGTTTTACATAATTTTTTATAAAAAAAAATCTGCAAAAAAAATCATTAAAATGCCCTCAAATGTAGTGACAAGCCAACCTATATCTAATCAATCGTTAAATACAATATCTAAGGTAAATCCTTTTAAAAATAATTCAACACCTCAATGTATCGAATCAGTGCATGATATCGACGAAATCGAAAATACTCAATTAAATTCGATTAAAGAAGATGAAGAAAAAAATATTAATGAAGATGCAAGTGATAGTTTTTTATTTCGATTTATTTCGAAATGTTGTCAAATTTGCTGTTGTAGTTGTTGTGATAATTGTCAATGTGATTGTGTATGTTTATATCATGATTGTTGTAAATGCAGTAGTATAACAAATAATGATAGCTGTTGTAAATGCGATTGTCTTTGTTATAAAAGCACACGAAAATATTAAAACAACTCAATATTTTACAAAAATGAAAAACCGAAATTTACGTATGCAATTGTAAAATTATATTTTTGTATTCATTTTTTTTATTATGTTATACTTAACACGTTGCGCGCTACGCGTATTTCTAAGACAATTCCGTTCAGGCCACGAGCGCCGCTTATACGCATTGGTATTAAAGGGCCCCGTGTTTCCGATCGCAGTATAAAATAGTTTACATTTTTAACATTATACCTATAGGCCTTCAACACGTTACGCGCCAAGTCTGTTTTGTTTTTCTTACCGCTTAGCCTGCTCAGATAAATTTTCTTCGAAATGGATTCGATGTCGTTGTTTTTCTTGCGACAAATCAGTTCATTACAGTCAAATGACACTGAGCGTCAAACATCCTAAACAGAAAATCTAGTATCATCCACCGATGGCTGACGCGGCCTAAACGGAAAGTCTAGTGTCAGCCACCGATGGTTGACGCGGCCTTAACGGAAATTTTAGTGTCAGCCACCGATGGCTGACGCGGCCTAAACGCTCGCTCAACGTGTTAAGTAATTCTTATAACGAAAGTTATATACAATTGTTATATACCTGATTGTCATATAACATATTTCCAAATAAAAACATTTTTTTAACATTTTATCTTTTATTCACATCGATCACAATACATAAAATGACTAGACAGACGGACACATTAATAGTTAAAATAGTTCAAGCGTGATATAGACTTAGATATAATTTAACAAGATTTAAATAAGGACCAAGTTTTTTGACCCATATCTATAGTGCGACAAGCTTATCTGGCCGGGTGGACACTATCACGTTTAGTACTGTAAAAAAAAATACCTAGATAGGCACAGAAAATATCAAAAAACACAGCGTAAAGTACGACAAGGATCTTGTTACAGTATTTTTTAACATTGCCAAGGGGCGCTAGTGAGCAATAACTTATGTCCACCGGGTCACATAATTTTATCTATTTTCTACCGATATTTGTGTCAAAATATCGGCAAAATACTCGAATAGAACCTTAAGAAAACATTTAATTTAAATATAATATA